GTTGAATTTAGTCTAAATAGCTAGGGTAGGGTATAATTTTAAAAATACTAAGTCTTGAAAACCCCCCGTGCCACTATTTCTGAGACCCCACTGTATATCCGACTACAGGTCGATAACAAGCGGTTTTCAAGCACCAGCCTGGCTATCTGTGGAGTCTTGTTGCCATATACTCGAGGAAAGAATTCTGCGGCAGCCTCGCCGTAGGAGGCGTAAACCCTGATCAACAGCCTTTCAGGGACCGAACCGTGGATAGTGGCCCCAATATGGAGCTTATGGAGAGATTAACAATGCTAGTGCTTTTGGGGCCCGTGCCAGCCAACACGCGTGCTCCGGAGCCATGTTCCCTGTGGCTCTGCGCCGCTGTTTTGCCGCCTCCGAGTCCCTGATAATCGCTCCCGCTAAAACCAAAAATTTCGGCAGGGCTGAGAAAAAAGTGGCAGCGCCTTGGGCAACCCGCCGCAGGCTGATATATCCTACATTTCCTACATTTCTCTCCCTGCAACACCCCTCTTCTTTCCATCCTCGTACCACTCTCCTCTCTTGGGTTTTAGTTGTTGGGGGACAGGACGCTGTTTATTGTCGCTTGCAATCGACAGAGCAGGCGTCACCTTTTTTTTTTTTTAGGTGGTTGCGACATCTCTCGTTGCATCGGCATTTTTCTTTCAGAATATGCCACATTTTGAAAGCCCTCCTCTGGCTCCCGCAATGGCTGCTCCTGTGGTTCCATCGAAATCGAACTACTCAGGAATCCCTCCTACTGCAGAGGAAGTCAACAGTATCCTGAAGACGATTCTAGAGACCAACACCGCTCAGACCGCGCTCGATGCCTCATATGCCTTGACGAACCTCCTGATACAGTCCGTCGGGATCCGAGGACTATTGGCCTACAATTTAATACCCGAAATAAAGAAGGCGGCCGTCGACAAGAAAAATGGCTCCAAACGCGAGAGTGCCATGTTTATCCTGGGTGCCATGTTTGAGCGTTTCCCCCGCGAACAACCGCTCAGCGAAGTCGTCTTTTTACTGCTGGACGGAGGACTTTTCCATCTCGTCCTAGACGGGTTGGCCGACAAAGGTTCATCAGTCCGTGAGTCGGCGCAATATGCCGTCGATGAGCTTTTCAAAAATCTGGAGCCCGAGGCTCTGGTTGTCGGGCTCCTCCCAGCCTTGCAACGATACTTGTCTAAGCCCACCGGCAAGTGGCAAGGAACCGTTGGAGCATACACTTTACTCGGAAAGATGGCCGACAAGGCCCAAATCGGTGCCGGTACAAAGGATGAGGAGCAAGCCAAAGACGTTTTGCGCGAGGCTATGGGCAGGACCCTCAAAGACCTCATCCCCGTGGTTGAGAGTGGCATGCACGATCTCAAAGCGGAGGTCGCCAAAGCGGCAACCAAGGCCATGACTTCTCTTACCACTCTACTGCAAAATGACGACGTGGCTCCTCGGATACCACTTCTGATCGACACCATGAAGAACCCCTCGACCCAAACCTTGCAGAAAGCCATTCACGCTCTTTCCCAGACCACCTTCGTTGCGATAGTGACATCGCCTGTCCTCGCCCTCCTTACTCCCCTGCTCGAGAGAGCCCTCAACTCTCCTGGAACGAGCCAGGAAGTGCTACGACAGGCCGTCGTCGTTGTGGAAAACTTGACCAAATTGGTTCATGACCCAGTCGAGGCAAGGACATTTTTGCCTAAGCTACAACCTGGTGTCCAAAAAGTCAAAGATAATGCCTCTCTTCCGGAAGTGCGAGAATTGGCCACAAGAGCGGTGGATGTCATGAAGAAAGCCATGGGTGACGACAAAGATGGGGTGACTGCTGGACAGATTGCCCGGACTACGACCGAGGATGTTTTGAAAGTTCTAGACCAACAGATTAGCGCACACGGTACTATTTCGAAGGAAGATATGGCCATCTGGAAGGAAGGTCGGGTTTATGTCGCTGACATGGTCAAAGAAGATGTCAACGTCAGGGTCTTTTCGAGAGTTCCTGGTCGAGTGGGACCTTATCTCCGATACCTTCTTCCAGACGACAAATGCACTGCGGTTGCTGAAGGCGTGCAGAAGCATTTCGTCGAGGAAGACCACAAGAAGTTCGGCGCTCCTGTCCAGGAAAATCCTGACGAGGTCGAAGTCGTCAACGCCGAGTTCTCTCTTGCTTACGGTGGCATGTTGTTACTCTCTCACACCAACCTCCGCTTGCTGAAAGGCCACAGATACGGTCTTTGTGGACGCAATGGTGCAGGTAAATCCACCCTGATGCGAAGCATTGCCGAGGGCAAACTGGAAGGGTTCCCGCCACAAGACGTGTTGAAGACATGTTTCGTCGAGCACAACCAGGGTGAAGACGCCGACATCAGCATTCTTGAGTTTGTAGCCAAGGATCCCGAGATTGCCAAGGAAGGCATGGAAAGGATCTCCCAGGTCCTCGAGGAGGTCGGGTTCACCGCTGGGCCTGAAGGTCGCCAGTCGCACAAAGTTGGATCGCTGTCCGGAGGATGGAAGATGAAGCTGGCTCTGGCAAGGGCCATGTTGATGCGTGCCGACGTGTTGCTTCTGGACGAGCCGACCAATCATTTGGATGTCGCCAACGTCAAGTGGCTGGAAGAGTACTTGAAGAGCCATACCGAGATCACTTCTTTGATTGTTTCCCACGACTCCGGATTTCTCGACGCGGTTTGCACCGATATCTACCACTACGAACAGAAGAAATTGGTGCACTACCCTGGGAACCTGGCGGACTTTGTCAAAGTCAAGCCCGAAGGGAAGAGCTACTACACTCTGTCGGCCAGCCAGGTGCAGTTCAAGTTCCCTCCTCCTGGCATCTTGACTGGTGTGAAATCGAACACACGGTCCATCCTTCGAATGTCAAACGTCAGCTTCACCTATCCCGGCGCCTCGAAGCCTAGTTTGCAGGATGTGTCCTGCTCACTGAGTCTGTCGTCACGGGTGGCAATCATCGGCGCCAACGGTGCAGGCAAATCTACTCTGATCAAACTGTTGACCGGCGAGACGATTCCACAAACCGGCAAAGTCGAGAAGCATCCCAACCTACGAATCGGGTATATCAAGCAGCACGCACTGGAACACGTGGAGATGCATCTGGAAAAGACGCCGAACCAGTACCTGCAATGGAGATATGCCAACGGTGACGATCGCGAAGTGCACATGAAAGCCACCCGAGCACTCACCGACGAAGACAAGGTTCAGATGGAGAAATGGATCGATCTTGGCGACGGCAAGCCTCCGCGGCAGGTGGAGGCCTTGATGGGCCGACAGAAGTACAAGAAGACGTTCCAATACGAAGTCAAATGGAAGAACATGCTGCCCAAATTCAACACGCAGGTGTCGCGTGAAACCCTTCTCGAATGGGGGTTCCAGAAGCTGGTGCAAGAATTCGACGACCACGAAGCCTCCCGAGAGGGCTTGGGATACCGTATTCTCGAACCCAAGGTGATCGCTAAACATTTTGAGGATGTCGGTCTCGACCCGGAAATCGCCAATCACAACCAGATTTCGGGTTTGAGCGGAGGTCAAAAGGTCAAGGTCGTGCTCGCTGGTGCCATGTGGAACAACCCGCATCTGCTGGTGTTGGACGAACCGACCAACTTTTTGGACCGAGACTCCTTGGGCGGTCTGGCCGTTGCCATTCGCGAGTACAAGGGTGGTGTGGTCATGATCAGTCACAACGAAGAGTTTGTGGGCGCCCTATGTCCAGAACAATGGCACGTCGCCGACGGCCGAGTCACCCACAAGGGCCATTTGGCGGTGGATCTCAACCGATTCGAGGATTCGCGTCCAGGATCGAGTAACGTCAGCTCGGCGGTGTCAAGTGCCACGGCCTCAGCAGTCAACTCGGGAGCCGAAGACAACAGCGACATGAACTTCCGGGCTAAGAAGAAGAAGAAGATGACCAGAGCACAATTGAAGGAGAGAGAGGTGCGGCGCAGGTTGAGACAGTAAGTTCTACACCTTTATGATTTCGATCGAAAAGAACGTCAAGCTGACATGTTTATCTTAGTATCGAATGGTTGAACAGTCCTAAGGGGACACCGCATCCGCCTGACACGGACGATGAGGCATGAAGAAACAAATTGAAGAAGGTCGCACGATATAAAAAATTTTTCTCTTTCTTTTTGTCAGCATCAACAAGGGTTAAGGATAGACATTACATGGTTGCGGTCGTCGAGTACCGTTTGTCGTTTGTTCAGAGGCATAGCGTGGCGTTGGAGTCGGGGTTTCGTTTCTGATCAAGCAGAGAGAGAGACGGGCGCTGTCGAACATCAAACATCGAACGCAGAAGAATACCAGCGCCATTTGCTCGTTTATTCATTTACTTTATGGCCATTCATCCGTGGTTGCGATCGGGGTTATCTGGCACTTCTATGGTGCCATTCTTGTATATTGCAAAGGCATCCAGCACTGCGGCATCGACTGCCCGAGGCCAGGTGTTAGACTGACTGACTGATCGTCTGCGGTCTGTGGTCTTTAAAAATTTATTCTTGTCTTTTTGAATTTCCTCTATGAGATCGATATCTAGGTGGATATACCCCCGTGAGACACATTGAATACAACTTTTTGTTTCCATTTACAACAACAGTCCTTGCCTGTTCAAACTGCAGGGCAAACCACCCGTCTCTCGTCTACAGTAGTATATCCATACATTTTTGTGTCTATCTACACTCCTGACCAAAAAGGTCCTATAGTCCCAGGCAGTCGTGCGACCACGCATGACCCCTACAAGGTTGACATAGTAGTAGTTCCACCTACCTAAGGGTAGTCATCACCGCAATCCCTATTCAATTGAGTTCAGTCGAGTTTATTGTAGTATCTTTATGTCTATTATACGACCTTCGCATCCTTTTTCATTGGCCTCTCCCCAAAAATCGTACTCCCAACCCTAACTTCATCACTGCCCAACTTAACCGCACCCTCAAAGTCCTCCGACATACCCATACTAAGTTCCAATTTGAACCCGTCAGGGCCATCCAAATCGAACTTGCCCTCCAACTCCTCGTCTTTTCGGAGTATCTGCACAAGCCGATCCCTCGTATCTCTCAGACACAAAAAATCCTCGTTTTCCGTTTCCGCCGTCGTGGCTTTCGACCGTGCAATCGCCCCGATTGTCATGAGGCCTTGCAAGCGCAAATGTGGGCATTGTAGAATAATATGCTTGGCCAACGTGACCACCTCTGGTTCCTTACCGTCATTGTCGTCGGTAATTAAAGGCGCCACCCCGGATTTCGATTCCTCGCCGGACGTGTTGACTTGGATGAAGACGCGGAGGGGGTCCGAGTCGGCCGACGAGGACGTAGTCTTGTCTCCTTCGCTGCGCTCGGCTCTTCCCTTATCCAACAAGCTCGCCTTCTTAACACTATCCACACTTTCCACGGCCCAGAGACCCTCGACTTCCCTCGCCAGCTCTCTGGCCTTATTACTCTGTAACCCGCCGATGAAATGCCATTTTATCGTCTTGGGTAGTATGCGCGCCTTTTCTAGGAGTTCCTGAACATAGTTTTCGCCAAAGTGTAAATGATTCACGGGGGCGTTGTGGAGGGCTAGAATGTCGCTGGCCGGTTTGAGTTTGGACACGGCGACTAATCGGACTACCCGGGTCGGAGGCGGAGGTTGGGACGACGGCGAAGATGAGGATGAGGATGAGGATGAGGACGCTAATACGGCTGAGATTCGCTGTTTGACGGATTGGAGGTTTGTTAGGAGGACGGCTGTGCGGGCTGGGTCGGGTTTGATCATCTCGGTTTCCTTGGAATCGGTCGTGTTGTTGGTGTCGGTACTGTTCAGGTTGGTCATTCTGTCGAGGTGGACAATAAAACAAAAACTTCTGGGGAGACTGCAGGTAGTCTTGTGCTTGTAAGTGAGGTAGACTAGGTAGCCAGTCCCTTCGACTGCCGTCGTGGGTTTCAAGTTAGAGACTGTGGCTCGATCGTCGCGAGAGAAGACGGGCAAAAATAGGACTGTTTAATATTAAGTTCGAATGTTCGGGATCGTCGTGGGAAATGCCGACGTCATTTACTGCTAGAACAATTCGGGGTAATTAACCGAGCCTTGCGCATAAACGAGGCTGAATAACGAGGCTGCCTTTGCAATGCCCGGAAAAAAAGTTACTCATGAACACCATCATGCTTTTAAGAATTGACAGAAACAGCGCTTGCAAACGAGGCTATACATCCCGTGGTTGCATTCCATCCGGTCCCCTTTTTGCGTCCTGTTGCATTGTTTCGGCTTGAGTTGTCGCTAACCCGCTCAGTCGCGTAGCACTCTCCAAGCTAAAAGCAAACAAGTATTTCTGTGCCAGTCTTGCCTGGTCTTGTACACTGCCACACCCCCGTCTACTAAGGTAGGTGGCGGCTACGCCGTTGGTGCAGATCTCCTCACATTGCTAGATGCATTGCAGAACCGCAAAATACGCCGCAATCCTGATCGAATCTCGGTCGTGCTCACAATCGAGGAGCAAGAAAAACAACCCAGTTGATCACGGCCCCTTTGCCAACCGTTCTTGCATCATGTTGAGCAAGATCCCTGGGACCTTTTCCTGAGTCGCTCGGATCGTCAACCGATACATCTGTACACATTTCACGTCAGTATGTAATCCACCAATGTAGGAATCTTAGGTCACAAGACGACCCATCCATGCCAACACCCACACGAGCACGAAAAGAAGAAACAAACAGCATAAGACTGAAGAACTAGGAAAAATGTCTGACATACCTTTTGTTGATGATTCGGCTCCAGTCTCAACAAACAGCCCGTCTTGCCCTTCTCGAGCTGTAGCACGGCGCACCCAACAAAGTTCCTCGGGTTCGGATCAACCTTTTCCAAAAGCCGCCATCGGAAACCTTGGACGACATCTCGAATATATTCGTCGCTCATGGGTGTGGTCGACGAACGGAGACCAAACGTGCTCTGCGCCTCCAAAGGCCCAGCCCCAATCTGTCGCCATCGTTTGAAGAAATCTTCGGCCGACAACTCGGACGGGTCCATAAACCGATGAGGCGAGATCGGCAGTTTCAACGTGTATCCTTGCAGGGCGCCAGCCAGATACGAAATCCGAATCGTAGGTGATTCAGAGAACGGTGCGACCGAAGTACATACAATAGTCTGCTGAACCTGAGAGTCGGCGTCGACGTGCGAGTCGGGCAGATTCTTCGTGTCAATCTTGAGATTCGGGGCCGATTTGTTGTCGATGGTCGTAGTAAAGGATCCGATTGGAAACGATGCTTTGTTCGTAAAGTACAACTTCACCACCCCCAGATGGCCGCGGTATTCGGCTCGGATGCCGACTTGGATTTGAGGATCTTCGTATAACACCCCTTCATTGGCGAAAAACATTTGCTCATACCCAATCTCCCAATCTGGGGACAAATGGGTTGTGCTGGTAAGTTCGGGTGTTGTTGTGGTCTGGCCGTTCATGTCGAGACCCTCCAGGTCTTTCGAAGCACTGCTGAATCCATTCTGCGAAAAGCCACTGACACTCCTTGTTCCCGTGCCGTTGGCGCTGGAAGTGGCATCCGCCCCGCGCCCGTTGACAATGGTTGTGAATGTCCGTTTTAGGCCTGTCTGTTGTTGGGCCAGGAGAACTTCCTGTTTGTCGGCATTGGCATCCTTACCCCCGACAACCCATGTCCGGCGTTCGCTCGTGCCCGCACTCTTATTGTGTAATCTCTGGAGCAGGATAGATGCTCGCTCTGAAAACGGAGGCATCTCATCACAAATCGTCCTCAGTAGATCGTCCGTAGGCAATGTCGCAATGGTCAGATATTCGCAAGCCCTCTGCTGTAACTCGGAATCGGGGGAATGGCTGTAGAACTGGAACATCTGGAGAAGCTGGGGCTTGATCTCCGGGAAGAGGTTCACAAACTTGATAAAGGTCGACAACAGCAGTGCCCGTGTAGGGTCCGGCGCGGATATCATCTTGGTCTGCAGCAGCATCAACTGCTCAATCGGACTAGATCCCTTGTTGTCGGCGATCAGATGTCCAAACTCTCCCAGAATGTATCCGCCAATTTTGACGAGACTGTCATGACAATTGTCCATCTTCAGATAGTCAAAGATGTGTTGTGCGGCGTAAGCTTGTAATTCTTCGTTGTTGGTTACAATCTGCACAACGCGCTGCCAGACTTCGTCACTGACGTGGTCCCCGGCCATGGCGAGTAATCTCAGTGAGATGTCGATGTACCATTGGGCATCGGTCGCATACTTTTCCGTCAGGATAGCAATCTTTAGCGTCATCTCTTCTCGGATCGAGTAGTCGGCTGTCTGGAGGTACTTCAACAGTTCATTGACAATGGGTTGGGCGTTGGACGTGTCACACATGCTGTACAGCAAGTCCAGTCCTTTTCTTCGTACGCTGATGTCCCGATCTCGTAGCGAACCAAAGATGATATTTTGATGGCGTTTGATCGGGTCCAGCGTGTCTGTTCTGGCGGCGAGATGGGTCATGGCATCCAAACCCAGGTAACGCACGTTTGTTTCCCGCGACTGGATGAACTTGCCGAGCTTGGCAGATATGTGCATCATGAGCTCATGCTCCGTGTCAAGATGGATCAGAAGATTGATGGCTTCGAATAGCACGGCATTCTGGGCGTTATTCTGTTGGACATTTTTCGGGGCCTCCGTTGCAGCATACATGATGGCTTGTAGCGACTCGCGGATGATAGCGTGGACATGTGAATCTTCTGTTGAGTAAGGGTGATGAGCCATAGTTCGGCACGATCATCTTGTGCATTGAGGATAAACTTACCTGATGGCGGATAATACTGAAGGAGCTTCAAGAACTTCACCTGGATCCAGGGACAGGGCACTTTGTAGTACAGATAGTCTGGGGAAATATCGTTCTCGATGACGATCTTGTATAGCCTCTGGGCGGCCTTCACATAGCTCCCCTTGTAGGCTTCGGGATGGTCCTGAATCAAGGCCATGACGAGCGAAGTGACTGACAGGACGACTCCCATGTCCGGATCGTCCATCAACGAAATGATACGCTCCGCCCATTCCGGCTGAAGAATCGCAGGATGTTTTCGATAGAGACGTAGGAGCGTCAAGGCAGCTTTCTTCTTTACAAACGATTTGGAAGTGGGAGAGATGAGAAGCCGGTGTACTTCGGAACTCAGAGCCTCTCCCATTTCCCTCCCACCAACGTTGGCGACAGCATGCAAAGCCAGACAGTTGTTGAGCTCATTTTGACTCAACAAGTCTTTCCGAATGCTGTTCACCACCAGATGCAAGAGTTCATGTTCCTCGTGTAAAAAGAGCGTCACCGCGAGATATCCGATCTGCTTCTCCGAGTACTTTGTAGCGGAGATGAGGTTGACCGCCTCCAGATGCCCAAAGTCGACATTGTATCCTTGGATGTAGATGTACAATAACTTGCAGGCGTATTTCTTTTTCTGGTAGCCATCCAATTTCTCGTTCTTGAACTTCTGTCGAATATTGGCCAACTCTTTGTTTATGCGCTTCTCCTCCAGCTCCCGGGCTCTGGCATTTCGAAGGTCCGCGATGAACTGGACAAGTCCGCGCATAGACGACATCGTTCAGGAACGAAACAGCAGACTCATCCGCACGCGATTCGCGCTGGGTCGGCCGCCGAGCGTCAACAGGTTGTGGATGATCGTCAGGCCCAGGAGGCGTCGGCAGTCAGTGGTCAATGGCGCATGGTCTAGGATTGTTACAACGCCCGGCCCTCGACAAGTGAAAGCAGACAGATTTAGGGCGGAGACCGGTACGTCCAGGACAGTAGGAGGAATGTTCAGGTGGGTTATTGATTAGATGGACAGGTTGTTGTGGCTTCACACGCGCTTACAAGTCGTTCTTCATGGCGACCCCTAAAGTGCCTGTTCCGGAGGACCAGCCTGCCGCATGATGACTAAGCGACGACGTATATCACCAAGTATAGTACTTCCGCAAATAACTTGCTATTGTTTACTTCACGATACTCATCTCAGGCCCATCCTCTTGTCGTTGTTCATTCACCTCTGAGCCTTGCCCAGAGCTATCATCTCATCCAGAAGTGTCACTGTCTCAGCCGGACTGGCAATCCAGGCGCAACAACAAGCACTCCGCGCCTTGAAGTCGTTTCCTCCGCCACTCAGGAACTGATCCCCAACGTGAAGAGTACTCGACGGTGCGATCCCTCCGAACCACTTCTGACATGACTGGACACCCATAGATTTGTCGCCCACGTCAAGGAAGACATCCGCACCTCCGTTGAACACCGTGAAAGGAATGTGGGCATGAGCTGGCGGTGGCTCCGTCTCCTTATCGTAGACCAGTGAACTCTCCACCACTTGCTGCACCACCAGCACCGTCTCTTCCAGCTGCTCACGAGTAAGTTTCTTTGATTGATCGGCCGCATAGATTCCTACTGCTCGTTCTTTACGAAGCACCTTGGCTTGCAAATGAAGAGTCCTGATACAGGAATGGAAGGCCGCTTCTGCCACATCCAGCAGCGATTGAATTGCTGGCTCAGACCAAGTTTTCATGGCATCTAACACCCACTCGCGTCGGTGGATATAGCGTAGACAGTACTCAGCGGTCTCGTCAAACACTAAAAGAAAATTCGACTCGCCGCCCATGATGATGAGATTGGACTTTTGTTGAGTTGTTAGTTCCGTCGACGATTGAACAGCCAGGAGTAGACCGGATAGCCGGTCAAAGTAATTCTTCGGCTGAGTATAGCCTGCAGCCGTGACAATGCCAATGCGCACTCCTTGAGATAGAAAATGGAGGAGGCGGTGAATCACGGGATCCGACTCTGGTGAATGCAGAGATGCTCCGTCCTCGTACAAGGTCACATCACCATCGAACGTAAGCAACTCCAAGCCTGCCTTGATGTTCGGTTTCAATGACCGGTAAGGTTTCGGCTGGATCATCGCCATGATTTGAGCGGTGTTCAGAATCAGCCGGATATCATTGAACGACGGGGCGACAAAGCGGCGCGATGATATCGCCCTGAGGGAATCTTGGTAGTAGAAGGCGTCTTCAAGAGCAAGCGGTGTGAAGAAGGCTGAAATTGTCGGGACCAACATATTGAGCTTCGATCTGGGATGCGAAGAGAATTGGCGGTTGACTGTCTTCTCGTCAACTCTAGCCCGCAGCAACAGTTTGAAGACTCACTGGTGTCAATGATTAGATCCTCGACATCCCGAAATATCTCGGCATATCTCTGCCGGGCGGAACGTGCCATGGTGTCCAGGCTTTGGGCATTGTTATCGTCGTAATCGACGGCGGGTTGGGAGTTGAGCACAAAGGGCACTGCAAGAAGTCCCTATGGCACGACGATTAGCCATTGGGAGCCAATGCGCTCCATGACCGCGACATGTGAGGCCTCACTTTGATCCACTCAATCAGTTGATCTCTTCGGTGTGTCTACTCAGATGGATATTAGCCAAGATATTTCTTTGAACAGTTGGCGCGAACGTGCCTTGAGCGCGTCTATAGTTCATTAGCAGGGGCTTCCATTGTCGCTGACAGGGAGCCAGGCTCTTACATTCAACGCGATACCGGGTTGTCATGATTGCTGTCCAGGTACGCAGTCCACCCGTTGGTAGATCGAAAACAGGGGCGTTAGGTACGAAGGTGAAGATGTTAGGTCGAGAGTGGCGGAGGGTAAATCCTTGATCTCTTGTAGGACACTGGCAATAATACTATGATGTTGTAGTTGTACAGAGTAACATTGGATTGCTGGAATCTCAATGACCACTTTGATTGGCCAAATAGACCCCGTGGCACCCGCAGTAGACACGAATTACTCTTTTGCCATATGATAGAAGTGGACACCACGTGAGCGATCGAATACACCAGATTGGTACCCAAGATCAACAGGAGTGCTTTGGGAGTCTTGGGTTAAAATACAGTACTTACAGGCTTTCCAAACTACGTAGGCAGATAGAAGAGTCATAGACCAGAGCAGCTGTGCGTAGCAGACCAAGGTCTGGAATCACCCCTTTATGATCTGGCCGATTGCTTCGTCAAAGGTCGTCTCAACATGTGGCCAGACCTCTGCTCCATCTGCCTTGGTGCACCCGCTAGCCGTCCACGACCATAACACCTGTCGTGAAGTAGTACCTTTGTCCAATGAACTCCATCTAATGTTGACGGAATCAGGGAGAATACCAATCTTCATCTTCTCCACTACCTCGCCTGATTTGTAAAGCGCAAACTCCCCATGGTGTGGTCGACATAGTGTCCATTTCCGGAGTGTGTCATGATCTGAGTTCTGGACATCTTGAGATTCCAGGGCCAGGTCTTGGGTATGCTTGACTAAATCCAGTAACAATACCCGCCGGAGAAACAACATTACCGCCTCTTTGGTTTCGTGATGTAGGTGTGGCAGGTTTGAGAAGCCAAAATCAAGAGAAGAAGTTTCATAGCGTGAACCATGTAGTGGAGGTCCAAGGAAAGTATGGAGGTCCACCGTCATGATTCTCTCTCCGGTCAGAGTCACTTTGCATGCCGCTTGTGCGGGATGCATCAATCCAGACAGGATTGAATATGGTGTTTCTGTGTGCAATGGCTGGGAGAGGTCGTTCCCCGACCCTGCTGGCACGATTGACACAGGCACCCCAGCCTGCACAAAAGGCCGCAGGAGAGTTCGACAATCGCCCCAGAAGGAGGCGGCCTCCGCCTTATGTCTAAGGTGGGTCAATATTGGACGAATTAGGGTATATTCAGGGAGTGGTCGAGGCTTGATAGTCATGGGCAATGGTTTGTGGGACCTTTTTGCCAAATTTTGCTCATGAGCGGCTGTCAGCAACAGGCGGAGCGAGGTTGCGACAAACTCGGCGATTGTGTTGGCGTCCGCATTTCCCGCGACCTCAGTATCAGGTTTCTCAGAGAAGAGTAGCGAGATTCGACATCCATCACCAACTTCAAGATCTACCGCTTGAGCGCGAGTGGAGACTCCCTGGTTGGCCACTATACGTGCTTCTCGACAAATCTCGTAGAAGAGTTCCTCCTCGAACATTGAATCTCGCAGTTCTGTGAGTTGTTCGCTTATGCTTTCTGAGTGGCTTTTGGTGGGTCTCTTGGGAGAGAAAGCTCCAGTTCTCACGCCGTCTCGGCTCACATAAACATGTAGCCATTTCCGCTTCCCCCGAAGTGCGTGCTTGTCTAAGGTGACAGAGCCATCCTCGGACTGGCGCAGAAGGGCAAATCCTCGATCTCGGAACTGTGGTGCGGATTCGGGAAAGCCAAAGTGCACACCAACCGCTTTGCTGTCACGTGGTACCCTCGAAACCGCCCAACCAGCAGCAGTCAGACCGGCAATCTGGGCCCAGTATTCCGTTTGACGTTCGGCGTCGGACCGCAATCTGGAGGAGGCTTCAGACAGTTTCTTGGAGGCAGACCGAAAACTCTGCAGCCTCCATCCTTCGGAAGTGAGTGCCAGGCGTTGTTGCACGGAAGAAGGAAGCGGCTTTGGTTTCAGCATTCGAGCAGCAAGAGTGCCCACCGGGACAGCCTCTTTGAGTGCCGGAGACATGGAGCTTTGAGCCGGGACAGACTGTTTTGAGATGAGAAGCGATATAAAGTCAAGAGCACAGAGTATCTCATTTTGAGCATAGCTAATGTACATCGCCAGTGGTTAGAGGATAAAGTAACTGTCCGACGATTGTGCTCACCTCAGCCGTTCAAGCATCTGCTCCCTACCCTTCCATAGACTTTCCTGGTGCTTCTGACGAGTTTCATCTTCGTTCTCGCCTTGAATTTCATTGGCAGCCTGCTTTTCCTGGGAGTCTACAGCCTTGTCCTTAGTTCGCGACACAAGACCTCGTTCGGTCACATGGCGAAAATGGCCCTTCTGCGCGACAATCTTCTGAATTTGGATTGACCAGTCTTGTGACTGAGCAGGAGCCTCAGAGGGGATAAGGAGGCTGATAGTCTTCGAGTCGGACATTCTCAGAGCATTGCCATGCCACACAGGAGTTGTTATTCTCTGTTCGTCTTTGTCGTGATGGTTGTTTCTGAGGTTGCCGGGATTTGTGTAGTGAGAGGAACAACAACGTCCCTACCGAAGCCGAAAGCAAATAGGCCGTAAACAGACTGTACTGAATTCTAAATAACAGCAAACGCGCGATGTGTTCACAATAGGTGTGATGGCTGAATTGGAATGTTTGCACCAAACGTTAGGCCTTTATGCACAACTTGGACCAGATGTTGATGTTCCATTGCTTTTCACACTAGTTCACTAGTGGCCCCTGATATCCGTTCTGGTAATCGAGCCGACACAGGCAGATAGCACTATTTTACAGCAGACGCACCATACCGTATCGCTCTTAGGGCTGTGAAAGCTGCCAATAGTGACCGAAGCTTCCCCCACGCCCGACTGCGCTACTGCTACTATGACATAGGGCCCCGGTGCTGGCAGTGAAGCTGCTCCGTTGGGGACGTTTCCTGCTCTCTACAGTAAACTTATCTTCATTATCGGATTCCCTACCTCAGCGTATTATTTTCTCTGTGATACGACACCTACCTCGTTATTTTTACTGCGGGCCTGACCTTTGTCTCCCGTGGAGACCTAAAGCACTGTCTTTTCACTGTGTGCAGTGATACTAAATGTCCAGCAGATAAGCGCGAGAAATCCATCACGGAACTGATTGTCCTCCACTTGAACCCTTGCAATCCACACCATGGCTGAAACCGATGCAGGCCAGTCCACCCGCAAGCGGAGGATCGCGGTCATGACCAGTGGAGGTGACGCCCCCGGCATGAATGGAGCTGTACGAGCCGTTGTCCGAATGGCCATATACCGGGGCTGCGAGGCCTATGCGGTCTACGAAGGTTATGAGGGTTTGGTGCAGGGAGGAGACTTGATCAAAGAAATGAAATGGGATGATGTTCGAGGATACCTGTCGCGTGGTGGGACACTGATCGGCACAGCCAGGTGCATGGCATTCATGGAAAGATGGGGGAGACTGAAAGCAGCCAAAAACATGATTCAGCGAGGCATTGATGCTCTTGTCATCTGCGGTGGTGACGGCAGTCTGACTGGTGCAGACAAGTTTCGATCCGAATGGCCCGGTTTGATCAAGGAGCTTGTTGAGACCAAAGAACTGACGGCTGAAGAAGTTGAACCTTTCAAACACCTGAACATTGTTGGCCTTGTGGGTTCTATCGACAACGACATGTCTGGCACCGATGCTACCATTGGTTGCTACTCTTCCCTCGAACGAATCTGTTCCGCTGTGGACGATGTGTTTGACACCGCCTCATCCCATCAGAGAGGGTTTATAGTCGAAGTCATGGGCCGGCATTGTGGCTGGCTGGCCCTCATGGCGGCGATAGCAACGGGCGCCGACTTCGTCTTCATCCCTGAAAAGCCACCGGGTCCTGGCTGGGAGGACGATATGTGCAGTATTATCACGAAACACCGGTCCCGTGGGAAGAGACGGTCCATTGTCATCATTGCAGAGGGGGCGCACGACGTTGATCTTAAGAGGATCACTGCAAATCAAGTCAAGGACCTGCTCACCACCAGACTCAAGCTAGACACTCGAGTGACCGTTCTTGGGCATACACAACGAGGAGGTCAAGCATGCTTTTACGACCGATGGCTGTCAACCCTTCAAGGCGTGGAGGCTGTGAATGCAATCCTCGATGCTACACCCGAAACCCCAACTCCCGTCATTACCATCCGCGAGAACAAAATCGAAAGAACTAATCTCATGGAAGCCGTGGCTATGACCAAATCTGTCTCGGAAGCGATTCGAGCCAAGGATTTCGACAAGGCCATGCAATTGCGGGACGTCGAATTCAAAGAATATTATAGCAGCTACATGATTACCACTTCTACCGATCGACCAGAACTTCTCTTGCCTCCGGAGAAGAGACTACGGATTGCCATTGTCCACGTGGGAGCACCTGCCGGCGGCATGAACCCAGCGACTCGAGCTGCCGTGGCTTACTGCTTGACCCGAGGCCATACTCCAATTGCCATCCACAATGGCTTTCCTGGCTTGCAACGTCATCACGACGATAAGCCGGTAGGGTCGGTCCGCGAGATCAGGTGGATTGACGTAGATGCTTTGGTGAATGAGGGTGGATCGGAAATTGGTACGAATCGAGGTCTCCCCAGCGCCGACATGAAGAAGACTGCCGAGTGTTTCGAGCTGTACAAGTTCGATGCCCTGTTTCTGATCGGTGGATTCGAAGCTTTCACCGCGGCAAGCGAGCTTCGAAAGGCGAGGGCCGAATACCCGGTGTTTAAGATCCCCCTGGTCGTCTTGCCAGCGACCGTTTCCAACAACGTTCCCGGAACCGAATACTCTCTCGGCAGTGATACATGCCTCAACACTTTGATCAACTTTTGCGATGCCATCAGGCAGTCAGCTTCATCATCACGACGACGGGTGTTCGTCATTGAAACGCAAGGTGGTCGATCTGGGTATCTTGCAACGATGGCCGGGCTTTCGGTGGGCGCACTGGCCGTGTACATTCCCGAAGAAGGCATTAACATCCACATGCTGGCACGGGACATTGAGTTCTTGAGAGAGAATTTCCGAAACGACCAAGGAGCATCGCGGGCCGGCAAAATCATTCTCCGGAACGAACGCGCCAGCACCACGTACACGACTCAAGTGATTGCAGACATGATCAAGGAAGAAGCTCGCGGACGGTTCGAGTCTCGGGCAGCAGTCCCTGGTCACTATCAACAAGGGGGCAAACCTTCGCCTATGGATCGAATCAGAGCCCTCCGAATGGCAATCAAGTGTATTCAACATGTTGAGGATCGGTATATCGGCAAGTCTAAGGCCTATATTGCAGATGACCCGTTGTCTGTTTCGGTCATCGGTATTCAAGGCTCCGAGGTCGTCTTCACTCCCATGGGTGGAGAGACTGGTCTCGAGGCCACCGGGACGGATTGGGAAGACAGAAGACCCAAGAACGAATTCTGGATGTCAATGAGGGATACCGTGGATATTCTTAGCGGTAGACCCAAGTTGAGTGATTGTTGTGGCGAGTGTGGCAAACCGCTTTCCGGCGACAGAGTCCGGGCAGTCCTGGGCAAGGACTAGCCGGCTGTTTCTAGTTCCCGGGAGGGAAACGATGTTTATGAAGAAGCGTTCAGGGAAGCGTTTTGTGTACCAGGTCGGCTCAAAGCGAGCCGGTGCTCCAAGTTGCTGCTGGTGTTTGCGGTGTTAGCTGAGAATGGGGACGATGAAGGAAAAAAGGGGACGGTCTAATCAGGCGTGCAACCGTACGGGGTTGAGGAAGTGGTAATGGCGAACAACATCCATAGATCAGATGATAATGAATCCAACTTATTGCTGGACAAGAAACGGGTTCTGTGCTTGATTTTCCTGTTTTCATAAGTTCGACTCATGCCTGTATTTTCATGGAAAATCAATATGGGGCGTGATTGGGTGGTTCTAGTAGAAAAGTATGCGTCATTCTAGGGCTAGGCTGTGATGTTCACAGCGGTCAAGTAAATATATTGGTAAGTAAGGCCGAGGATCTAACCGTCTAACAACCCCTATATCTTTGCACTTTGATTCATTTCGTCACTGCCATTGACAATCGAATCTACCAGCGCAGCAATATTGAGCAACGCTTCATCTTCGTACCGGTACCCAACCAGCTGTACACATATAGGCGCGTCTTTATAGTCCTGAGGTCCCGTGTCTGCAAGAACAGTCAGAATTTGGGCTTTGTTAAACAGCTCTTCTTTAAAGGAGGAATTGGCATACACAGACTATACACCCTCTCATCCTCGGGGCCGTATTTCGCATTGCCCAGATCATCTTTCAGGTCGAACTCGTTCACAGGATCAACTGGGATAACAAGGGCCGGATAGTCAAGATAGTTCCACAGACCCGTGTAGCTGGCCGTCGTCCATTTGTCCAGAGGGACAGCGGTGTGCGGGGCGGGTGGCATTAAAATGGCGTCGATGGCATTGTCGCGAAACAGGCGGAGGTAGTTGCGGGCAGCTGCTTGACGACGCACGTTGAGCTCGAAGAAGCCGCGAAGATCGGTGCCGGTGAAGGAATTTAGACCAATGGCTTTGAGGGAGGGGATTTCAGGTTCGCCGGTCCGGGCGAAGAGTGAAAGATAGTTCTGAAGAATCAACAGGTCAGATCTTATGATTATCATCCTCCTTCACGTCCCCCTCGCACCACCGGGGGCAAATCAGGTTCAAACTTACTTCACTTCCCAGCAATGTCCAATACCTAATCAAGTCGACATAGTGCTCTTTGACGTTCGGAAGGACCAGAGGAACAAGCTCGATATTTTGGTTCAGCTGAAGCAAATCCGCTGCCTTTTTGAGACCGCGTCGAACCGGCGGTGAGGGAGTGTGCATGCCATCGTCGAGGACGAGACCAATGCGAAGCTTTGCCTTAGGCTCCAGATTCAAATTCACCCACGGCACGGAAACAACAGTACTATCGTACCGCCAAGTGTCGGCCTGCATGATTGTTTTGAGGAAAAAAATAACATCTCGAAGAGATGTAGCCATGGGTCCAGCCGACGAGCGCACCCCATCCGTGCCGGGAGTAGTGAGGTCTCGCACGCCTTCGTGCGGTACCAGGCCGACAGATGGTCGAAACCCATAGATGCCATTGCAGACCGCGGGGACGCGAATACTACCGCCAATGTCGGTGCCGACACCAAGTACACTGCCTCGAAGGGCAAGCAGGGCCCCTTCGCCGCCGGTGCTGCCGCCGGCCGTCAAGGCCGTGTTGCGAGGGTTCAGGGTCCTGCCAAAGACGTTGTTGTCGCTGTCGGCTGTCATGATTGTCTGCGGAAGATTCGTCTTGCAGTACAGCACGGCGCCCAGGTCAAGTAGCATCTGTGCGAGGGCGCTGTTTTCTTCGGCTGGTTCGTTGACGAAACATGCCAATCCTGTGGATGTGTCGTAGCCGGCAACTTGGAAACTGTCCTTGAGCGAGATGGGAAGACCGTGGAGCGGACGAAGTGGCTTTGTTGGATTTTCTTGCCGTTCGCGATCGAGTGCTCGTGCTCGCTGGATGGCTTCGTCGAAGAATATCTCGGTCAAACAGTTGGTCTGCAGTGGTGTTAAACGTCGGTAAGGGTAAGCTTATGCGACGATGGGAAAGAAAGGGGGATGGGTGGCGACAAACCAACTGTTGAGCAATGGCTGCTCGCTTGCAAAAGGCGATAGTGACCTGTTCCGCCGACCACACTCCATCCTTGAGTTTCTCTAGAAGCGCAGTGGCGTCAAAGTTGGACGTGATGTGGTACTCGGTTTCGCTCAGGATGCCACACGTCCGCGGAACTTGCATCAAGTTGCTGACTCCTTGGTATTGTTCGGAGCGGAGTAGCCATTCTTTGGGGATCTTACTCTGGCGTTCCAATTGCTTCTCGGCCGCGATGATTTTGTAGTTCTTGTAGACTTTCGACATGCTGCTGATTACTTACTGTGGAAAAGGGGGAGGTTCAATGGAGGATTGCTTCTGCTCCCTAAGTATGAGGCCTCTCTGGCATATTTATACTCCGGGACCTCCAGTCTTCGCCCTGCAGGTACACCAAGCATCTTGTAGCAAAGGACTGAAGTGGAGGTCCATAGATGTGTGCCCGTCCACTCCGGTCCCCTGAAAATTGGCCGGTTCCGGTTTGAAGGTGCGCATGGCGTTGAGATGGCACTTGGCTCGACGTTGATAGCGACATTCCTTTCGGGAGACTCATCCTGTTGGGTCACCGCAATTGTGGGAACATCTCCACGTTTTCGAAGTGTAAGCTGTACAGCGCTCTGTCTGGACTGCTGAAGGACTAAAATGTATCAATCCTCCGGTCAACGTTCCGGTCCGTCGTCGATCATCGACCAATTAAATTCGGAGCGCGCAACTTGAACTTGCGCCATCTGAGGTTCGCTACTCCGTCTTTCTGTCTCCTTCAACAAAAATTCAAGTCCAAGCGTCATTTGTACCTTTGAGATAGTTTCATCTCCACTACTCATTTCTGCCCACCGATATCCGATTGCTTGGGGCCGTGGCCGAGACGACACATCTACTTCCCCTACGCACTTCAGTCAGTATGAGTCCCCTGGACCGGGGCCGGAGGATTGTTCATCAATGTGCCAGATGTGCCGCTCGATCATGATCCTCACTAACGGCAGTACGAGTGTTCGTCCTGGGTATTGCCTACAGCAACTCTGTCCCGAAGTGATTGTTTAGGACGAGTCTGAGTCTGCTGTTGCGTATCGAAGCTCCGTGTCTCTCTGCAAAGACCCACAATTGTTGGCCTGTGCCGTTTGTGAACCACGCATTACTCTCACACATCTCTTCAGCCTCCCTTCAGCTCGCTACACCCGGTTCCTTCTCTGGATCCATTGGAGAGACTGTAATGGCATCCGTCTTGCCCCGGCGCCGTGGAGGGATCCGGGCCGCATGTGACCGATGCTATGAGCTCAAGGAACGGTGCGAGCGGGCGTCGACCACATCCGCCTGTGTCAGATGCAACAGATTGAGTCAGATCTGCCGGACTGTACGTCCACTGCGAACTCCCGGTCGAAGAGCACGGCATCGAGAACCCTCAGCATCAGCATCTCAGACGATATCAAGCCGTTCAAGCACGGAAGCCTCCTCTCAATCTCAAGACGAAAATGGTGCATGGCTACAGGATGTTCCTGATTTGGTCCTGGAGGAAAGGGAACTGATGATGTTCCTTCTATACCGACGCCAAACGCTGCAGTTCAACGTGGTCAGCCCCAGCTTCGAAGACGCCGCACGACGCTCGTTTGAGGCCCCCTTGCTGGCCGCTCTCCCAGTGCTCAAAGATGCCTATCTTGCCTATGCGGGCGGGCTGAAAGCATCATTCCACGCTGACAACGATACGCCAACGGTGGCAGACGAGGATGCGAATCTCTCTCTCCACCATGCATCCTCCGCCTTGGAAACGTTGCGTACGCTCCCAGTTGGCAGTTCCGAGGATGCGGCGTTATGTCTTACGCTGGGAATGGTGTTGGCATTGTATATATACTCAGCGGTTGGCGTTGGTGCACCCGACATCTGCCACTATTGCCTCGGTGTTGCCAGTCCCTACATTGAAGACTCCACCATCTCCTTCGAAACAGAGCCTCAGCTCATCTTTATGGTCTTGTTGGAGACCATGGACTGTGCAGTCCACCGCCACAAGCCGACACTGAGGCTCCGGGTCCAGTCGCCGGCGGCTAGCGAACGCGTGGGTGTCGATCGGCACTTGGGGCTGTGTGTTCCATTGCTTCCGTACTATTACGATCTCTGTGTGATCAGCCACTTCCTGATCGATGGGAAAAACGCCAGTCTCGTAGCCATACTGCACCGGCATCTGCGGAGGATCCAGGCCGCCGTAAACACGTGGCAGCCATGCCCGCCGGAGGGATTCGTGCATGAATTTTCATCCGTGGAAGTGGTTCACCTCCTGGCCCAGGCAAGGGTGTACCGACTAGCGGCCCTGCTGATGGCTCACCGCTTACAGCATCATTTTGGCCACGAGAACGCGGACGCTCAGGCCGACATCTGGTCGCGCGAGATCATGATGGAACTCGAGATGGCTCGCCGGGTTACACAACAACCGATCCGGTTCGTCACACTCCCGTTTATTGTTGCTGCAATCGAAATCCGAGATCCGGTCGCACGGATCAAGGCAGACGAAAATGTGGATGAGTATGTTGATCGATTTATGCCGGTCGTCCAAGAAGCCACCAGGACGTTTCTGTCGCGCATCTGGCGCGAACGGGATGTTGGGGCAATCTCCTCTTGGTTTGATTCGGTTCATAAGCCTTGCGTCACGTTAGACGCGCTGGGAGATGTTTAGCTGGCTTGATTGTGATTGTTGGAAAGGACAAAGGGCAGGCTTTGCTTCATAATAAGCTAGCCACTACTATACCCTTCTAAGCTGACCCGTCACTGTCAGGACACACGAATTAAGTTTGAAGTATTCCTACTCCCCAAGAAGTACAACATTGTGGTAGTCTTGTACTGTTGCTCCGTAGAGCCAAAGCGGTCCCTTTCTCGCGGGAGATTCGCCTTACTTTACAGTAAGTGCTGATATCAGTGCAGCGCAGGGAACCACCATCGCCAGACGGTCATTATTGACTGATGCCTCGATGCCAGCATTGCATTGCCATTCGAAAACTTTGTACCAATAGGGGTCCACGTTTGGAAGACGCGGTCCTATGAAAATGCTCGCAAATACCTGCAACTTGTAGTGCAGATTGCATGCTGTAACATGGTAGTCATCAGCGGAGCCCGCAGGAGTCAGTTCCAACTTGAAAGTCGTTCTAGACGCCTCAGCGGAGGAACCCCCTAAAATGCAGGGGCCCGAGAAGCCCGAGCGCGCCTATCGCCTGACGAAGGAATGAATATCAAACCACTGCACCGGTTGCCAGTAGAACAACGGCCAATAACATCAATTTGAAAAGAAGCATCCTCAGAAAGCGGCGTCACCATCTCCCCAAATCCAGCGGGCGAATTCCCTCCAAACTCGCATTGTCAGCAGTGTTAGAAATCCTTGGACTGTCATTGGCTGATCTCCTCTCAAGTGGCAAGGCTGACCATCACCGACCAACCACATTCAACTCAATTGTCAGCCCTTTCCTCACACCACTTATTGGCCCAGCCTGTGCCCAAGTACATATAAACCGCTGAAGAACAGCAGCACAACTTTGAGTATTCAACAATCAACAACAAAGCAAAACAAAGATCACTACTCTTGAGTCCTCTCCTGTGTCTTCTCAAGCCAAACCTACCATTCCCAAGTCAACCAAACAAAGCACAAACAACCTCAACTTTCCAACACCACCAAACGCCAACCACATCTTATCTTATCACTTCGCTCAAAATGGTCCGACCAACCACCTGCTGCGGCCGCGCCTCCGACTGCATCTGCGCCCAAAAAGCCACCTGCTCATGCGGCAAGCAATCCGCCATGCACTGCACCTGCGACAAGAGTGCGCAAGAGAACTCACTCCAAGGAGCCAGATGTTCGTGCCGAGCCCGTCCAGCGGGCCAATGTACCTGCGACCGCGCGGCCACCGAAAACGCCCAGCCGGAAGGTGAAACCTGCGCCTGCGGCAAACGGAGCGCTCGCAGCTGTACTTGCGAAAAGGCCCCTGATGGCGGGTTGTTGCCGGGAGAAGTCGATTTCACTACTCAGGCATAAATAGCCAACAAAAAATGACCCTCGATCAAAACAGATCAGATAAAGTCAGAAACAAAACAAAAAACAAAACAGACTACGAGTGTATCGCATCCGCAGAGCATCGCACTCTCCAAGAAAAGGGATGCATTGGTCGACATGGTTGCTGACCTCCGGCGTATGGTGTTTCTCTTCATCCGACGATTGAGCTGCCTTCCATGGCCGGAGAATCCTGGAGAAGAACATGGTCATGAAACCCCAACCCCTCCCAGACACTACATTATCCAATCACAGAAATGGGACACGGAGCGGCAATGGCATGCGATGCGATGCGGCTTGACACCAAGAATACTTTATGCATTGCATCTGGAATGGAATGGACGGCGTCCTGGTTGAATCGGAGAAGAAACTCTTGTATTAATAGGGCGCAATGACTGTCTTGTCCCTTGCGGCTGGGCTGGGCTTGATAAGGAGATACCAGAATCAATGAATGATATTGAAATACATGCATGCATACACACGCTTCAAAGTCTGCGTTCATTATCTTGACCGCTGCCACTTGATTGAACGAATTCCTATTTTCATATCCCCTGTTTGTTGCTTTGTTTTATCTCCCGCATGTCTTCGTGGTGTTCCGCCGAGTCATGCTATTGAATGTGTCTTCATCAAGACGAGAGTGCTCAGTCACTACTGGCGGTGGCACCTTCTGGTGGTGTAAACACCCAAGATACTATATTACCTGTACTCAATCTTGAGTGACGGAGCAATACCTGGTAGGCTGTTTGGAGAATGCCCAAGTATGTCTTGCACGGCCCAGACGGCTTGACGAAGACTCCCGGTAGTACGGGAAGCAGGGACTTCAGTTTTTTCTGCTCTTGGCCTCTTCGCCTTCAGACGTTACAGTGATGTTCTAGAAGTAGCTTCACCAACGGTTGAATCAGTCTATCGTCTATTGCCATTCTATCTCTCTCATTCTATCTCCTCTTGCCAGTCCAACATTTCTATCTCCTTTTGCCAGTCTAACATTCTATCGCCTCTTTTCCATTCTATCGCCTGTCTTGCAGCATGCCTCTATGCAGCCAGAGTGTTTTGCTGACTCAACCGTGGTGTTCCTTGCCTTGCGGTGGCATACGCTGTGCGCGCAACCAGTCTCCATAAGTACCTGCACTCAGCATCTCATGTAGTGTTGATCCAGGTCGCTCTGCCCACAACACGTTCGCTGCCGCCTGCTTGTTTCGCTTCTCAAACTGTTGGGCTCGATTTTTCTCCACTTCATATCTCTTCTGCCGCTCTGCCACTTCTTTCCAGTTGGTTTTCGCCCACTCTAAGATGTCTTCGAAGCGTTCTTCGAGGAAGGCGATTCTGAGAGCCGACGCGGCGGGGTCCTGAACGCGGAGATCTCGAAGCATCAGGCTGTCGACAGTCTCTGCCTCTCCATCTTCATTTGTGGTAATCGGACATCCCTTTTCTTTCCCCGCGATCTCCCTCTTCATCCCCTTCATGACATATCCGATTTCGGCGCCTTGGACGGGCAAGCTCTTTCTGATATCCGCCCATAGTTGATCTACCTTGATCAGCCGTGTCCACTTGGTTTTGCGCTCGTCGAATCTCATCGCAAACGCCGGTCCAAAGTACGCTTTGGCATCGTCGACGACTTCCTGTCTCGACAAGTGTGCGTCTCTACCTGGCAGGTCGTTCGCGTGCGCAGGGAGATACTCGGTGATCCAGTATCCGAATACAGGTCGTTTGGCTCCTCGTTGACGATCGTTGGCTTTTAGCTGAAGACACTTCACTTCTGGGTTGCCCGTCTTGAGCCCGGCCACCTTTTTCTCAGTCATTGCCACATCAGGCAGCGGAACTTCCTCCGAGGAGCTTGTATTTGCTTTGTTTTCCTTCTCAGTCGTCCGTTCTTTCCATCTACCCGGATCATGGAATCGACACGTGGCAGCATACGCCATCATCTCATCCCAATTAGCAAAGGGCTTCCAGTACCTCTTGACATCGAGTCCAAGGTAGTTTAGAACCGCAGTCCGGTCCGTCGTCAGTATGACGCGAGACTGTTCCTTGTTGTGAGACTCAACTTCGGCGATTCGCATGAAGAGGCCCTTGGATGTACATGTCAATCCGAACCGGCGGATGATCCCGCCAAGTATGTTCCACATATCACCATGGGCGTAGGAGAATAGGTGCCATTTGAAGTATTCCTCGGTAGGACATATGGTGATGTCGACCTGAATGTACCTCCCTGCTGTGGCAGGGTAGGTGGCAATGCCATCAACAAGACCGACACCGTTTCTCTGTCCATTGACATCGTTCTGAACTCGCGCTTGTTCTCCTTCGTCAGCCACCGCAAGCATGACTTGATCGTTGCAATCAATTGAAGAACCGCCTGTCTCTGCCGGAATCTGTGTATTGACATTTCGGCCTTCTTTAGTCTCGTCACCGTTGTCTGACATTTTGTCCGAGACAACCCCGGAATCCAACTCTTGTGGCCACTTCAATGCCAGATTGAAAGTGTTAGTACCGCTGTTTTTCTTCCAATGGTCGGCACCCAGTATGCTTGCCAAAGCCGCTCCCGTTACACGCCTAGTTTTGGCGCTGGTTGCTGAGTGCCCATTGCAAGTAGCATCTCCGCCGGAAGCCAATGGCTCTGCAACAAGCACGTCGATATCCCCATGAGACTCCTTGGCAGGCCCCTCGAGAGCATGGCCAACAAGTCTAAAGTGAGGGCGCAGCAGAGCCTCGATCCTCGCGAGGATAGCGTTGTAGACTTCAGGTGACATGCGTGGGGTGTCGAGACCCTCAGGTGCAAAAGCTGTACCACCCATCGTTGTGCTCGTAGCGATGGAAATGAAGGGTAGCCGTAGCTTCTGTGACTGCTGCTGCTGTTGGTCAATGGTACAATAAGGTAGTCAATGTGACGTGACGCTTACCTCGAGCGCCGTAAAGGTGCTATCACTAGTAAGGAGTGCGAAAGTTGATGCAGGATCTCAAGAATCGCCTGCGACCAAACAGAGAAAGAGGGAAGATTTGATGCGTGTGGAAGAGTTGACCGAGTAGTCCGCTCCTCCAATGCAGGATAAGATATCAAGTACTCGTAATGGTATGCCGAACACAAGAAAAGTAGCAGATGAAAGGGAAAGAAAAAGAAGAAGGAAAGGACAAAAGTAGAAAGACAAGTAGAACTGAAGTGAGTTTCTGTCCACTGCGTGTCATGGGCTTCTGAGTTTGTCCGCCAGTTTCCGTTTGTTGATTTCCACAACGCTCCTGCGTCCAGTGAATTGGGCTAGTGGATTTCGATTGTCCATGCTCGTACTGTACCCCGGTCAAGGTAGTATGACAGGACACGTATTTTTTCTTTTCGGCGTCGCCTGGTCCTGTGGATGTGCGTGGTAGAAACTCCTCAACAAATCGACGATGTGTTTTGAGAGACACGCATTTTATGCCAGCAGTCACGGTATATATGACTCACTTACCTTCGTCGTGCTGATGATCATACGCAGAACGAAAGTTTATACCTAGGTAAGGTATTGTTGGTTCATGGGGTAGACATAACCTACGCAGTCATAGCTTTGCATTATCGCCAAAGGGTTCCTTGTTGCCGCCGCATCAGTGAAATGCGCACGCGAACATCTGATCAGGCAGAGACACGTGTGGTTCGACTGAAGTGCTCTAACAATGGGCAAAGCCTTGTTATGTATACCGCGTATCCAGGTGGAATCCAAATATGAGAAACTGGGAGAGTCATGGTCTAATAGTCGTAGTTCAAGGGTGAGAGTGTAAGGGTGAGAGTGGAAATAACAAAGTTAAGTTGCGCCAGTTGGTTGGCAAGGCTGTGCGATAATCGTCGGAGGCCACTTACTAAGCAAGGCTGGCTATATGCATACCATATCAGCACCCTGTTGAAAGCTATGAGATGAACCACCGCATGGAGGGATAGTGTCTCTTGCGTAACCCGCCTTCACTGAGGGTAAATATGCAGACATGAGTCTTACTATTCTCAACTAGCTGCAGGGCTCTTGCACCGCCAGGATTATAAACGGCTTTCAGCTCAACGCAAAAGAAACAAGCAAAGCAGAACCATCACGTTTATATTCTGATACAGTAGAATCCATGGGTATCGCACGATAAACTAATAGTAATTCAAAGATCACCCGCCTGAACAACCTCGTGCAGCGGATCCTCTTCATCCCCATCAGGGAGTCCGTCCTCCGCTTCTCCAGCTACATAAGCATCCTCTGCCGTCTCAGCTGGGGCCGCAACGGCGACTTGGCCACCCATAGCCTTGACTTTCGCCTGGGTCATTTCGAAGACATATTGACCAAGATGTTCGACGCCTTCCATTTCCGTTCCAGGCACATCGGCATCCAGTGCCCGCTCGGTAGGGAACATTTCACCAGTAGTCAAGACCAGCTTATCGGGCCTCTGTAACAAGAGATCCATAGCGGGTTTCATTTCGAAGCAAGACTCAAACAACTCGCGACGGCCTATGATATACAGACCCAGTCTCGCGCGCGAGAGCGCCACCGTCAGCCGACGCACATCGCGCAGATACCCCACCGACCGGGTCCGAGTCATGGAGACGATCACATAATCGTTCTGTTCGCCCTGGTACTTATCCACCGTGGTGACAATCCGGGGAAGACCAAACAACTTGTTGTTTTTGCATCGATGATCGAGCACGTCACGGATCAGAGCGCGCTGTCCGGCGTAAGTCGCTAGGATGGAAATGCTTCGGGCAGGATAGCCCAGTAGCCGCATGTACTGATACAATGCCACGGCGTATTCGGCCTCTCCCAGATTTTGGATAAAATGTGGCGTCGGTTCTCGCTCTCCTTGTCCTTGGTAGTCAGGGACGTCAATGAACTGATAATCATACCGAAACCCTGCATTGGCTCGAGCAAACTCGGGCTGCTCCAGAAGGAACGGCAGGTTCCCCAGGTTATTGTAGCGCCACTTGAAGAGCTCCGCGATCGACGGTCGACATCGACCCTGCTGATCCAGATGAATGGTAGGCACACCTAATCGGACCATCCGTAGGAAGAGCGACTGCTCGAAATTGGCGTACTGCCGCAGAGCCAGATTTTGAATGATGGGAGAGTTCTGTAAATGATCTCCGATCAGGACAATTCTTTTCAAAGGCAGCTCTCCAGTCTTAGCATCTGGATTTTGCATGGCACAGGGGATGAAGGATTCGATTTCAGTGACCTGCGCTGCCTCCTCCATGATCAAGGTATCGTAGTGGAATCCCAGTTCTGCAATCTCCGACCGCCTCATTGCTGCATGAGTGGATGTCATGGCAATGATGCGGGCCTCTTTCACCAGCAGATGGTTTTGTTGGTCCCGACTATTCCTCAGAATCTCAAAAGGTCGAATGGATTCGAGTTCAGAGAAGATCTTGTCAATATGGTATTGACAACCAGAAGCGATGTCGCGGGCTTCCTCCAACGACACACCTGCCGGGAAAAGAGTTGGAACTGGAGCATTGCTGAAGTAGTTGTAGAAGGGGAAAGCCTCCAAGACCTTTTCCACAGTAGCATCATCGGCATTGGCCACGTCCCAAAATCGCGACCAAGCAGGCTTCACAAAGACTTGATTGAAGTAGTCCGCTGTCTCGCAAGAACCACCATGGGCGCCTTCGGCGCCGATCGAGGCTGCAAGCCGGCTGACCTCGGACAGGTACCACTGTCGATTTTCCAAAAACGACTCGACACGGCCATATTTGCTGTATGACACATCCGTGTCCAGCTCTTCCTCTCCATGACCCAACCGTAGGAGATGGCGTGGGTCAATGTCTAACGCGATGATCTTCTGGAATAATTGATTTAGCGCTTGGTTGCTGTGTGCAATCAAGAGAACGCGTTCGGTCGGGAAGTTGTGATATAGGAGATTGATCGTTTGAGTAGCCACATCGGTCTTTCCCGTGCCCGGAGGTCCAACAACCACAGTAAGCCCCGGCTGAGTTCCCGACACTATCGCCTCGACTTGCTTTGGCGTGAAGCGAACTGAATTGGTTTTCCGGGCATCCATGGGATACGGCCCAGTGTTGGGGGGTTTGTAGGTGGACGCCGTGATGGTGGAAGAGTCCTGCTCCATTTGCTCACGACGTCTCTTTTTTGGATTCGTCGGCGGTTGCTCATTCGCCGAAGTAGCCGTCTGAAGCACGTAAGGCGGCTCGAGCTGCGATGGTTGTCCAGGTGCAGGTTCGATAGTCTTTCCGGGAAAAGAATCAAGCAAATGCTGCCAGTCAACAAAGGTGTCGAGATAGTCCAGAGATTCTATGCGATTCGGCAGCGATGTGTAATATGCACTTTTTGGGTCACCATAGCCCAAATACACCTCTTGAAGCCAGGAGGGAAGTGTGGTCTGGAACGAAACCAGCTTCTGAATCGTTTCCAGCACCGGCTTGAAATTGTTCTCGCGCCCTTGCCGTCGAGCAATGACATTAAGGCCGGCAGTGCCCTCCGACCCAGTGACAAGTTTGGCTCCGCCAGCACTATGTGACAAAGGATCCAAATCAAGTAGGAGACGTCTCTTCCTAGGCCGTGAAGAGTGACCATTTGTCGGGGCATCCCTCAACGGCCGAGCATTGTCGTCCAGTATCTGAACGACCTCGGCGGTTCTCAGAGCAGTGAATAGCTTTCCATCCTCTTCTTGCTCTGCAGAGTGGCCATTCGTGAGTAGCCGGGAACGATCTGCAGATTTCACTGCTAACAGAAACACGACATCGTGAGGCCTCAAGCTCTCCCATTCTCTTCTCACATTGTCAGCAAGTCGGCCAACATCCAAAATTACTTCCGCCCGCACATAGCTCGGCTGGAGGTGTCCAACCTTGGTCGGGCCAATCTCCACAATTGCAGGCTCGGAGATCGGTAAAGCCATCTTTGAGTATCCCTCGAACGTGGTAGAGCCCCTTTCCTTTGCGGGCTTTGGTTTCATCCGCTTCACGATGCTCTCCAAATCCTTTCGGATGCCATAAAATGCTTCCATCTGGTAGAGTTGGAACGATCGCCACATGAAATCGCCAAGGGTTAAGTACTGGAGATTCAACTTGGGTATCCCAAGCGGTCTGGACCCGTCATAAGATTCATTCCTCAGCTGCTTCGAGTCATATAGTGATTCGACCGTAGGGAAAACAGACAATCTGGCGATGGTTTCTTTGAAATCTGGAGGCTTCGAAAACATGCAGAGAAGACTTTCCATCATCACAGCTCGGTTGGCAGTGATCCCAGCTGATGTTGGATAGACAGTTCGAACACCAAGGTGGCCACAGAGATCCTGCAATTCCGGGTCCGAAAGGTTCGACAGATGAGATTCGAGGTCGTTACGTTGGTTAATAGATCCGTAATTCGACAAAGCAAGGACCTTTAGTTTCTGTTCAAAATGTTGAAGGCCGACTCTCTGTAGCCGCTGCAGCGCCTCGTAGTGGGTCTTACGAAGACCCTCGGGGCTGGACTCGCTATTACCCAAGTCGTCAACGGGAAAAGCTTGAAAATGCTCGAAAAGATCCGTCAGGTCGCGCAAGATCACGGCGTCTTCTCTGTCGTACAGCTTGGATGTTCGGAGGATCGCCAGCAGATTGAGGTCCTGCAACAGCGGATTCGTGTATCGCCTCGTCGGTAGCTGACTGATCAAATCAATCAGAAACTCCATAAACCGCTCACAATAGACCGTCTCTTGAGTATTAGCCAGGTTCGAGACGTTAAGGCGCGCCAAAAAATCGACGAGCATCGCAAACAGCCAGGCTCGATCGAATCGCAAGCGACTCTGTGTTGGACCGTCCGCGCCGTCATATCTTCGCTGCGCCGCCTTCCAGGCTTTTCTCCTGCTTGGGCTGGCCTCTAGGAGTTTGTCCCTCGCCTTTTCATCGTGTAGATTGTGCCATATTGCAATTGAGACAAGAGGGGCACACTCTTTCCGGACATGTTCCTTCTCCAGAGATTGAAATGCACCAATGACGAAGTGTAAGAGTGACAATCGAGAGAATATCGACAAAGACGAGTCGAGGTTTAAGGAAAGAACGCGTCGAAATAGCTGGGAGAAGTCGTCCGGCCGGTCGATGAACAAGGTCCAATCCTGAAGGTGTGCGCGTTGTTTGACATTAAAAAAGATGGCAATGAGAAGGACATGATGGTTTGATGAGTCGGCCGAGAAGGTAGGCCAGAGGAATCTCTCGAGCATCTGCAGGTTCTCTAACAACGCAAGCGGCCGAAGGGCGAAGGATTCCTGTTCGAGGGGATCCCATATCGCGGTCTTGATCACTTCTGGCTTGACTCTGGTCGGCGCATTGTCTAGCCAGTACTTTCGGGCCAGCTCCTCCCATGGAGTCTCGACGGTGCCCTGGCTGCTGGGCTCGACGTCCTGGGCGGGCGCCAGAGCTGGACGCAATTGAAGGTCCATTGTCACGCCCGGCGAGGATATGGTGACAAAGTCCTGAAAGCAAGAACTAGAAACAGTTCTCAAATTTGCTGTAATTGAAGCCTGTTGCGCCGCGAAGGTCGAACTCCGCAGAGCCAAAATTTCTCCGCAGCCCGAGAGCCTCGCAACCCAACACGACTTCACAACACCTTACATACAACTACAACTTGAAGCACCCTCGCACCCGTCATCGGCTTATCTGTGCATTTGCGGTCAGTGACCGCTCGCGAGAACTGCAAGCCGTGGTTCTATCACTGCTGCTCATTCCAATGTTGAGCTAGTATCCAAGCAACCCTCAACAGCTCGCGCACCTCCTCCACATACGCGGCCGTCGAAGGCCACTGCATCAAAGCTCCGGGCCTCAGTCGCGCTTCGGCCGCAAACATGTCTGTTACAGATGTGCCAGCAGTTAAAGCATACAAGCCACTCGTCTCGCATCACATCCAGCGGTTAAGCGAGGCGCGACAAGGCAGCGACATCGACTCGCCCATCGTCGAAAGCGACTGCGCCGAACTCCTCGAAGCAATCCGATCAATCCGAGCCCAAAGCCTGGAGCATGACAAGGCCGACTCACCACAACTACACAATGCTGCCCTGGAAACAGTGTTCCGAGAGATCTTCGTGCACATTGTTGCGACGGTCGCGATCTCTGAACCGGCATTTTCCCAAGTCTGGGTTCTTCTCGACATCATAACTGTGCTCTCGGACAACGACCTCTGCGAGCCTGGATTGGGATTCTGGCTAATCGAGGAGCTGCTGGACAGCCAAACGATCGACGGATGCCGCAAGGTCTTTGATTATCTTGATTCCCGCAGGGAGAGGATAACAGCCAAAAACTTCAAACACAAGAGCTTGGTCATACTAAGATGCTGCAACGAGCTGTTGCGACGGTTGTCACGGGCGGAGGATACGGTTTTCTGCGGACGAGTCTTCATATTCCTGTTCCAGAGCTTTCCGCTCGGAGACAAGAGCTCTGTGAATCTACGAGGCGAGTTCCACGTTGAAAATGTCACCACTTTCGATCCCGCTCCGCGAAAGTCGGAAGATGCCATCAAGCCGATGGAATTGGATATGGACGCACGCACACCGCAGGCCACCACGTCAGGGGCCCGCACACCGGCATCGAGCAGTCAGATACAGGAGCAAGACTCTACAGGAAGAGGGACCCCAGTTGCCGGCAAAGCAATAAAATCCGAAGTGAAGGATCAGACACAGCCGCCACCCGACCTGGACACACTGTATCCCAAATTCTGGTCTCTCCAGACACTGTTCTCATCTCCAACCAAGTTATTCGAGCCCTCCAACATGGCGATGCTCAAAGAGGGTTTAGCCTTGACACTTTTATGCTTCAAATCCGTCTCCCACGGTTCGGCGCCCAGCACGGCTCCGTCGGATGTAAGACGGGGACTGAAGCGCAAGCACAGCGATATAGAATCAGACAGCAACGCGTCCCTTCCCGCCTCAACATTCAACCCAAAATACCTCACGAACCGGGACCTGTTCGACCTGGAAATCCACGACATAGACTTCCGCCGCCACATTCTCGTCCAGGCACTCATTATGATCGACTTCCTTCTCAGTATGACGCCGGCCGCAAAGGCAAAGTTTGAAGGACTGACCAATAAGTCGGTATTATACCCCTTCACCCTATCTGAGGAAGACACGAAATGGGCACAATCGACCCGTGCCGCAATTGCGAGTTATTTGCAACAAGGCAACGGCAACGAAGGGAAGTTCTACTATCGGATGGTCGATACGGTGTTGTCGCGCGACAAAAACTGGGTGCGGTGGAAAGCCGAGAATTGCCCTTCAATATCGCGCGATCCGGTCCCTCCACACGCTTACCTAGAGGCCAAGGATACGCTCACAAAACTAACAGACGCACACAAGGCACCGGTGCCCAATCCGCCGGGAGCGGGAGATCTTACATTCTTGTCCAAAGTCGAGCCGTTGGAGGCTCTGAAACGGCCGTCCACGCGCCACAAGCTTCCAACGGTAGAGGAGTATTACCGCGGAATCGAGACCGATGATCTGGACATGGATTTCGCTGTCACAGAGGATGAGAAGAGGGAAATCGAGGAGCGTAAGGCGGGCAAATTGTGGAGGGCTCTGCGGGCGAGTGATCGCCGTTTTGCGCTGTGTGAGCGTGTGCAGTACGGCGGAAACTTGAAGGCGTTGGTTGAAGAGGGCCCGAACCAGGATGTGGAAGAGAAGAGTGGCGCGGATAAAGAAGCGCGTGAAAATGAGAATGGGGGTGAAGGGGCAGAGGCAGTGAAAGCTGAGGCTGAAACGGATGAGAAGCCCGATATTGAGATCGAGGACCAACCGCAGGTCAAGAAGGAAGAACAAGAACAACCCTCCACGACTGCTGCTACCGCACAGGGCGAGGACGCTGAAATGACTGATGTCGCGACCACTGAGGCTGGAGCTCAAACAGACGAAAAGAGCGGCGTGAAAGTCGAGAACGACGAGGACAACGATCCAGACAGAGACCCGGGGGAGGCAGAGGAGTAGTTCGTCACCAGAAACCAAAGACTGAATCGCCAGGATGATTGCCAACTTGCCGTGTTGCGCGCCGAATAATAACAATCATAGACCATGGGCTTACAGTACCTTAAACTGCACAATAATACTGTAGTACCTTGAATCCAGAACAGCGAATCTGGGGAGCTGTGAATCCGAAGGAGTGTGCTCAGCTTCCTTACCAGGCCATGCACAGGGCTCCCTACCTAGGCTGTACCGCTGCAGCTCAGGGCGGCTTATTATTCATGGCTCAGCTCTAAGATAGGAGGGTGCTTTAAGTTCGAAGTAAAAAACTGGAGCACGGGAGGTCAAAGTGGGAGCTGAGCACGGGGGCTGTTTCTCACGTCGACATGTGACGCTGTCGTTTGGAAGTATGTACAATGTAGGTGCTGTATGCAAGCGAGGCGATGCCAGTGGTGGTGGTGGTTCGGCACCACTTGCAACAGGAGGCTGGGAGAGGCAAGGGACCGAGCAGTGTACACAAATCACCGCTTCCAAGATGTCATGTTGGACTGAACCGCCATCCTTGAAATATGCGGTGAGCCGCCACTGACAGCCATGGACAGGAGAATTATCCATCAGAGGAGCTGGGACACTTTCGCCATCGTAGCTATCACCATGAGTCTGAGCATGATGGCGTCGTCCTTTATTCTGAAACCGGATCGAATGACCAGTATCAGCCTTGACGATCAGGCCTCGCTGGACAGCCCGCGAGGCTTCGGAGCCTTGTGCTGATCGGAATTGGCGCCAACCGCGGAATGTGTCAGGCTGTGCTGGTCGATGCTTGTGGACTGCGAATGAAAATCGACCTCCACCGGGCAGTTAAGAATGGGGAATCGCCAAAAGAAACCCAGGCCGGTCTTCCGTGCCCAACTTGATGCGAGGCCGCGAATAGTATCACACAAGCTCCTTCAGTCTCTGCGTACTAGAAGGGCCGTTGTGGCAGATGGCTGAGGATTCCGTAACCACACGGCATGATGGCGAAATTCCTTTCATTCCCCTCTTTCTCATTTGTGTGGTTCCCGTATCTTTCGCAGTGGATCGGCCGCTGATGGGTTGATGGAACCTTGCTGGGCTGAGGCCACCGAGGGCTCCCTAGGCTGTGGAGGGGCACGCTGGGGATGGATCGCCCATGCGATTGGCGTAAATCTCGCCTCCTCGGAGGCAGCGTTGAAGTGGTCGGTGGCTTGTCATTCGCTGTCTGCTGGATGTCAAAGCCTCGTCCTGTCAAAGGCTTCCGCGGCATTTTAGGCTTCCTTTTGGGCTGTCCTTAGGCCTTGTGCAACCTTGTCGTCCCCCTTGCCCTCGAGTCGGCCTTTCTCTCCTCATGCTCCCCTTGTGCAGCCTCGGCAGATGGCTGGCCACTTGCATTTCTGCGACGCTGCGGGTCGGCCTTGCCACACACTGCTCGAATTCCGTCTGAATGATAAGGATTACTGCGGGAGATGCGAGGGGGGAAGCTCGTACAGGCAGGGTCTTCGAGGATCGAAAAATCTGATTGACGGACCAAAGTGATGGACGCTGTTGTGGCTTGCCTGGTCTTGCATCTACTAGGATTTGGCAGGTTCTGGAGGTTCCTTCTGCATGAGCTACACGTGCCCGAGGCGTTGAATGGAGTATAGCTGGTACTGTGTAGATAACAGTCGTTGGGAGAAGTAATGAGGCCTTGCCTTGGAACTACTCCTGCTGCCCAGTGAAAATGGAATACTAGTTGTAGTTGCTAGGACTCGAAGCCTCAGTGCCTGACCGAGCCTCGACTGGAAGTTGGCTGCATGGTGTGACGATGGGTTTATTGCGGACAGCCCTGGTCGTAAGCCTGGGCCGTGGTTGTGATCCGTACCAGGTAGGGAGGGTATTCTCGTATACTAGTAGTTATCGCAGTAGTCGTAGGAATTGCAGAAGTAGCCGGTGGTCGTGGCAGTAGTCGAGGTTGAGGTCGAGGGTGCGTGCCAGTCACGGTGAAGCTGAAGGCTGCAACTCTCCCCCTCCCGCAGCCTTACAGGCTAAAAGCCTTGTCCACCTGTTGCAGCCCCTTCAAGTTCAGTTCAAGCCTTCGCTCTCTTCTCTCGCTCTTCTGCTCCAACCTTGCAGTGCCTTACCATCGCACGCAAAACTCGTCCCCTCCTCTTCTACTCTTCTTTTCCTTTTCTTTTCTCTCCGTCGTCTTCATCCCCATCTCTCACACTTCCTCTACGACAGTGCATTTGGCCGAAAACAATTTCTGCGCGTTGCACACTTCCGCCGCCGCCGTTTCTAGCCGCTCCTCTTATCGGAGCCTTCTCTCGGCCTCCACACACATACGCGCACAAGCACACGCACCATTGCACCAGGCCACGCACTAGGCTTATCCGACGAATTTATTTCCGTCTTGTAATTTCGAGTCCAACTCTCATTCTTACTCAAATCTCAGCGAGTCACGCCGTGTCGCGTTGAAGTGAGAGGGGAAGAAGTTGCAGCAAGTTTGTTCCTCGAAGCCTTGTCGCCACACAGTCTGCTACCAGCGCATTGCATTGCCGCTACTGATTACCAAAATTCTCCTTTTGGATTCAGACGCTGCCCCCTCCGTTACCACCACGGCTGCCATAGGGAGCATGCTCGGTCCCTTTTGGCCTGTAGCTAATTGAGCTTCATATCCTTGCCGGTCTATCGCATCGTGGCCTTGTCTGGCTCACGCCGAACTCCGCACGCTCACTCAACGCTCACCCACCCAGCCTAGAAACCAAGCCCCAAACGCCACCCACCATTCTTGTCAGCCACCATGGCAACAACAGAGTCCAGCATCAACCTCACCCCCGCGTCTCTCAGAGGCAGTCCTTCGGACCGCATCATCAAACCGCGACCTCGAAAGGATTCGCTGCAATCCATCTCAGGTTCCGATACTCATCCTGGGCGGGTGGTGAAGCCTCGCGCTCGAAAATCGCCCGGGTCTGGGGCTAAGCGATCCGAGCCGGCCAAACGCAAATTTATTTGTTCATTCTCTCATTATGGCTGTGATGTCGCCTTGAGTTCCAAAAACGAATGGAAGCGCCATGTTTCGATTCAACACCTGCAGCTAGGGTTTTATCGCTGCGACGTGGGATCCTGCAACCCCGACTTAAATCCTAATGTTCCGGGTCACAAACGTGTCTATAATGACTTTAACCGAAAGGATCTCTTCACGCAGCATCATCGACGCATGCACAAACCTGAAACAGGGCCTGGCTCGGCTCCATTCTCCCCGAGCAATCCGGATCCCAAGGACTGGAGGGCCTTTGAAGATAGCCTCGAAGAAGTTCGAAATCGGTGCTGGGTGGAGAAGCGGAAACCTCCTCAGCGAAGCACCTGTGGATTCTGTGGCCGAGTCTTCGAGGGTGAAGGGAGCTGGAATGAACGTATGGAGCATGTCGGCGGTCACTTCTCCCGTGACATTGTGGAGGCCAAAGAGGAACGAGAGGATGAGGATCTCACCAACTGGGCTCTGCAAGAGGGCATCATCAAAGACGGCGGCAACGGTCGCCATGTGCTCGTGGACCAACCACCGGCCTCCGGGGAGCGGCCATATCTGGCTCGAGGAGACCGCGATGTCATCATGGCCGACGCGCCCAGTTCTGATGGATTTTCTCGCGATCCAGATCAATCCCCATCGCTGAGCGCATCATCACGCAGACCGGAATCGGAGAGAGGAGACTATTACCAAAAACTGGACAGCCCCCAGGAGTCACGTCGCCTCAGCAATGCATTCCCTCCAAGCACCAATGGCACTCCGCGGGCGCCATCCGTGCCATTGCTCCAGGCCACACCGGCTGGCTTGGGGGCGGGACAAGCAATTGCTCCTGCTCCTCCGAATGCTTCCACGACGCCGACTCTGGCACCGGCTCCCTCGCCTAGGGCGAGCCAGGCGCAACTCCCGCCTCCTCCTACCACTCCTTCTGAGAAGAAGAACTACAATCTTGCGCCACCGCCTCTTTCAAAGACTCGTCGATCACCTGGATCTGCTTCTCAGGAAGACTCCGAGAGTGGCGACCGACTTGAAGACCTCATCAACCAATTGATCCGGCCCAAACCGCCCAAGACACACCGGCGACTGACATGGAAATGCGTAAGTTGCGATTCAGATATTCAACTTCCGTTCCTCTTACTAACTGCTTGTTACAGGACTGCAATATGGAAATGTCTGTTAACCTCGACGATGCTGACAAGCAGGCCATTGAGAGTCTCCAAGACATCAGCATCATCTGTAGCAAAACGTCCAATCCTTATCTCAAGGTGGCCAAAACTGGGAAATACCATGTGGTGGCTTGTGACGAATTGGCGGGATACATTTGGCGGAATTCCAAGCAACCCGTGGAGCAGCACATTCGTGCACCAGAGACGGCGGCAGTTAGCTAAGACTGTTCGGTCAGGCTGATCATGGCTTCTTGTCGATTCGAGCGGTTAGTGACTGAAACATGGCCAAGGAAGCTGAGGCCGACTCGATCGACTATCAATATCATGCCCCTTTCTGAACAAGAAACGCTGCATGAACGACATTTACGTTAAAAGCACCACCTGCTTCCTACCATCAAAAAGCCGATTTACAACGAGAGAGGTTGTCATCGCTGGACAGACAGGAAGCCATCGCCGCTGTCACTGCTGCAGCAGATGTGGCTTGTGATAAGCTTAACAGGGCGCAGAGAAACGAATGGCGCCCTGGCCCATGGGTCCATAGCAACAAAGCAACAAAGCATCTTGACCTTGGGATCTGGTGTCCCTTTCTGGGAGCTTTAAATCATTCCCCACATTCGTGGTAGACTCTTTTCGCAACCCCGCAGAACGAAGCGTGAAGTGTGACCCGACCGGCAACAAGTATCACACATTTTGTATGTTACGATTCTCACCGGTCTCTGTGTAGGTAGTTGTAAGTCTACATAAGTAAGGTGATTATACTCGCCGAGAACTTGAAGCTTTGCCGAGTTCATCGAGGGGATTGCTTAGCTTCTCGGTAGGCTTGCCGTCGTTAGGTACACAAGTACTACAGCAAAAAGCAGCGTTATTATGCGCGGCTAGGGAGGCTAGGGGCATTAGGCTCCTCCCGCAGAAGCCAAAGCAGCCTAATGAGATTTTTAGCCTGGGCTAGGGAGGCTTAGGAGCCCGCCTCGACCCTTCAGACCTACGACCTCAATGGGTCCCAGGCTCAGGCTGCGGCTGGTAGGTTAGGCTCTCGAACTGTAAGGGTTTAGGGGTCCGGATAGCGGAAGAGCCTTACCAGAAGCATTGGACTTACTGTTGGTTCCTGACAAGCCTCTAAAGCCGCCGCTGTGCAGTGACCGATGGATCTCCCAAGCCGCTCCGCTGTGCTGTCATGTTCCCTTCGAGCCTCGCTGGCCACACATTCGGGCACGTTCCTTACCATTTCACCAATTCATCACCATCGTCCGTCTATTTCAGTTGAGGCCGTGTAGATACAATAGGTTCTCCTTCGACCACCGCCCAGATGGCTCTGCAGGCCTGTTATGCCTACGGGCACTGCAGACCAGTCTCGCCATTTCCGATGGTGAAGTCCATCAGGTAAATGGTTCTTGTCAACCCCACGGCATGATCTTGAATCATGGCAATATCCAGTCTTCTTCCATTTTCGCCCCATTCGATCAATTCGCATTACTTTTCCGTCGACTGTGACCTGAGTCGAATTGATTAAACACAGTACATGCACGTGAATGCTATCTTGTTCAGAGACAAAGACCATCGACCAGGCGGCCAGGCGACATGTCCAGCCAGTCCAGTTCCATGGATATGGCCGACTGGCCTCTGCAAACTTCAACGCGACAAGGCAGTTTTACTTCGATGACTCCCTTGTCAGAGACCGCTAGTATACATTTCTCGAATTTTCCTTTACCACCTACACCTACCGCTTCCCGCCCGCCCAGCGACAGAAGCGTGCTATCAAATTGTGCTTCAAACCACATCATTCACGTCCCTTTGGCCAGACCGGTCACTATGTATGTGACCCCTGATATTTCCTGGTCGCCAAGAAGGCCTATTGACGCTTGACATGGACAATCTACAGCACGTTCGCAAAGGGCAGCAAATTATTCAAGTTGAAGTTTTCACATATCGAAATGCGGAAGGATCCGGCAGGCAACCTCAAGCGGATTGAGCTCAGCGAGACCTCCGGGTGCCAAAGCACCCTGATCCATTCTTGTCAGTGAGCCGGTTTGGAAAGTCGTCGAAAGTCGAAACTGATGGTGGTAGTCCCTAGTTCCAAGGCGCCCATACCGCATCTTGAGGAGCCGGTCACGTCAAGCAGCGGTCATATCCCTCGGGTATCTTTTCTCGAGGAGCAGACGGTGCAGACGGCATCCAACTTATTCCAAGCACAACCACAGTACTCATTCGAGACTTGGGAAGGTACTGCCTTTCATGATTGAGAACTACTGGTGAACCATGCTGATTCGAGATGCACGCCAGATTGTACTCATTTTCAGGAATCACTACTTGCCCAAACCATCATCTTCACCGCTGGCATTGCCGAAGCCAAATCTAAGGGACGCGGGGAAGAATGTATCAGCCAGAATCTGCGATTACTCAGAGCACGTACCGGACGTCAAGTACTTTTGTTTCTGGCCAATTCTCAGCGGAAAGAAAAGAAGCGATATGTATCCATTCCACGTGAGTACTGGCGAATTGTTCATTTCATGCTATTTTTCTTGATCCTCTCGATTCCTTCACATCACGATGGGACTTTGATGTCCGCTTTTCCTTTTGCTATGAGCCCTTTCGAGCTGTTGCGGCCTCTTCGCATGACGAGTGGCTCAAACGTTGTCGACTACTCTATGAGGTCTTCTCGCTAACAGCTACACAGTCGATTGCATTGACCGGGTCGAACAGAGTAAAAAGCATGGGAAACCAATATCACTCTCATTACGGCCAAATTTCGAGCTTTTAGCACAGATGAAGGCTTTGCAGATTCGATTTCTCGATGAACATGGTAAGTGCAACGCCCAGTCTCATGAGCTCTGACAATTTGTCTGATCATGTTTTATAGACCAGCAGCGGTTTTTTGGCCTTCTTTGCCAGGGCGTCGGGTTCCAAGGATGAGCGTGACATATATAAATATAATACCCTTGATGCGATACGAATTATATGAGCATGCATATGCCAACACGGGGGTGCCCCATCGGCACCGACTGTGTGTTAATTTTTCCCTGATCAGCACGGAGCCCACGCCAAGATGGCAGGACAGCAGCAATGTTTGAACCGAAGTAGCGGCTCGACCAGTCCCTGGGCGAAGGGAGATACAGTATGATCCACGGCTTCGGCCCGGAAGCAATAGTCGGAACATATCCGCGCGGATCCCTTGCGAGACGTTCGTCCTCTTTCGATCGTTCGCAAAAAGGAAGCATCTGTCAACCTTTTTATTTTAGTGTCCAAGATACGTTCGCAGATTGCGTAGCTAGCAGCGGATGGATGGTGCCCGCCTAGGACAGATATATGGGAGAAAAGATCGGTTTGGAGGAGCCTCAATGCAACGCCACCAACGAGAAGGAACGTGGTGGTGGTGTTATGCCAAAACCCCGGATCGTTGGGAGTAAGTTGTACACGTGGGAGACGCTCCGAAGCGTGAATGGTCGAGTTCGTATGACACCAACAAGGCGGCGCTCCTTGGCTCGAAACGCCTTCTACGCCTCATCACAATCGACAGCGCTACGGCGTCCCTCGAGCACACCACTCTCTCGCGTCCGGGACCTTCCACAGTGCTTGTACCCTCAGCCATGCCCGTCCTCGGACGCCTCTCGTGCCATGGTGGGTGGCTGACCATGGATCCTGCAGAGATGCCTAGCTCCACGCCCTGGGCCTGGCCTACCAACCTTGCCGGAGTGCAGATGTACAAAAAGGTCCCGCGCTCACGGTAAGAACCGCTAACGAAGCTGCTGCTGCTGCTCATAGAAATTTTTATCTCATTGTTTGGCTTACCGACGAACAGAACCCAAGTCTCTCGCTCACAGATGTTGTCAGGGTCTTGCTGACGTTCAAAGAAATATATTGCTTCGATCCTGCAACAGCCTTTTGCGGGGATCCTGTCGACTCTCTCAATTATGGATTGCTAGACGGTCGAGAAACGCCTCTTCAGCGGTCTGTGCGTATCTCAATATCTGAGGATGCCACGATGGCGTGGCCGCCTCTATGCCACAGATCGAGCTCGAGACTTTGACCACGAACATGTGAGTCGCTGCGGCGTCGGAAGATGTCTTTATATCGCCCGGTATGCTGATGCCGGTTCTGCTGTAGGATCGCCAAATTCGAGTTCGTCAAATCTACGAGACCATCGACCGCCAACCCTTCCAATGGGTGGTGGTCCTCGTTGCCGGGGTCGGCTTCCTGCTCGATGGGTTTTCGGTATGTTGGCTTTTGGCTGTCTGCCGGATAACATGGTCGGGGTCTGACTGGAATGTCTCAGCTCTTCGCTGGTAACATCGCCCTGCCGATGATTGCCTATGTATACTGGCAGAAAGAGGTGTCGTCTTTCCGCCTGACTTGTATCAACATCGCCACGCTTTCCGGGACTCTCCTGGGACAAGTCTTGTTCGGGTTTCTTGCGGACCTCAATGGTCGCAAGAAGATGTATGGAATTGAACTGGTCCTGCTCATAGGGTCTACCCTCGGAGTCGTCATGTGCTCCCAGGGATATAATGGAAACATGAGTATCTATGCATGGTTGATCTGGTGGAGGTTCATGGTCGGAGTAGGGGTAGGGGCTGATTACCCCCTCAGCGCAACGATAACAGCCGAGTCAGTCCTGTTTCTCCTCCCTCCCTGCTACTTCTTTGCACCTTGCTCTCCCTCCCCATGTCCCTCCGGGTGCTGCTGTTTACACGAAAAGGCTAGTCGACGGCGAGGCCCATTCACATGCTAATGCGCGTTACTGTCTCAAAGGTTTGCCCCTAGAAGACACCGAGCTCGGATGATGGCCACAGTCTTCTTCATGCAACCGCTAGGGCAGATTGCCGGGAACCTCGTCTCGCTGGTCGTGGTGAGTATCTCGCGTAGGTCAGACGCGGCGGCCACCGACCTTGCACAGTCCGTCGATACCATGTGGCGTTGGATCATCGGCATCGGCGTCGTTCCAGGCGTGGTGGCATTGTTATTCCGTTTTGCCATTCCAGAGACACCGCGATTTTTAGTCGACATCGAAGATGACCCGATTAAGGCCGAGTTTGACGCCACACAGCTGTTTGGCGAGGAATCGCTGACGACGCCGCTGACAGAGTTAGAGGCTGGTATGGGTGGCGTGGGTGATGGTGCTGCTGCCAGTGCGTGGTCAACAGCCGACGACGACAATATTCTAGACGAGTCCCACTCTCCCACCTCCAAATCATCGCTGGATATCCTGTTCCATCGAAAACAATCCTCGTGGGCTACGTCCGTGATGCCAATATCGCCGCGAACCGCCTCAACTGCAGCTTCAGCTGCAGCGGTGCAGCAAAGGTCAAAACAGGATTCCATCTCTGCTGCTACTGTATCTGGTGGTGGTGCTGGTGCGAGCGGATCACCACTGAACAACACCTTCACAAGCTCAAATGCCAATCCTCCTTCTCTCCCTTCAACGACATGGACGCTAACCAAGGGCGATATCAAACAATATTTCTGGACCGAAGGAAACTGGAGAACGTTGGTTGCGACGTCCGTATGCTGGCTACTTCTCGACTTTGGGTTCTACGGTATCGGACTTTCGAGCCCTCAATTCCTAGCCAAGACTTGGGGCTCATTGAATATCTCTGGCCCCAGTCCACCCTGGATGACGGACGACAACCCGGACACAGACGTATACGATACATTTTTCGCGACGTCGGTGCAGGCCCTTGTGATTCTCAACACGGGCAGCTTCGCCGGCGGATTACTAATGATCGCGACAGCCAGCCGGCTGAATAGAGTGAAATTGCAGAAATTTGGGTTTTTGGTCCTAGCGGCGCTGTTTATTGCTCTCGGAACAGTCTTTATCACGATTCAGCGCGAGGGCGCAGTCGCGATCGTGCTGTATGTTGTGGGCCAGTTGGCGTTTAATTTTGGTAAGACATTATCACTAGAACTGCACATGCATTTTTGCTGACTTGTTGCAGGCCCCAATTCAACCACCTACATTCTTCCAGCCGAACTGTTCCCTACCCGCTACCGGGCCACATGCCACGGCATAAGTGCGGCCTCGGGCAAGCTGGGCTCGATTCTGGTCCAAGTGTTTTCGGCATACTACAAATTCGGCTCGTCATCGCCTGGAGCCGATCAGACGAAGCGCTACGGCACCATTCTGGTCGTGTTCAGTGCGTGCATGTTCCTGGGCGCCGCGGTCACCCATTTCTGGATCCCCGAGGTGCAGAGGAAAGCTCCTAAGGATATGACTGCCACTACGAATGGAAGTAAAGCCTCCTCGTCGTCCTCCTCCGCCTCGTCCAGATCGATCACTAGTCCTGGGAGCGTTGCCAAGTCTGCTATTAGTGGTCGTACTTGTATGTCTTTGGAGGAAATAGCCTTGGGCAGATGGGGCACGAAGAGCGATGCTGTGTTGAGGGCCCGAAAGGGGAGAGGGGCTGAATTGGATAGAAGGAGCGGTATAAATTGATGTTTGTTGACTTTCAGCGGTTGATGGATGGATGGACGTGTGTATGATGATTTGTACCTATGGATGTACTGGACATAGATGTAGACTTATGAAGCGGATTATGGTTATACTGCAGGTGAGTTTCACCGTGCTGTTGGCAGTGTGGCTGAATAAGCATAGCACATTTTATATTCCACCTATATTCAAGTTCCAAGATAGCTTATTACAACTTCCTTTTCTTTCTGTAAGTTCCGCACGTGCTGCCAAACATTGTGGGAGACGGCTTCGCGCGAGCCGGACGTTGATCCTTCATGGCGGTTGGTACTAGTTCACTCTGAGATCCTGTGACTGCCTGCTAACTGGGGTCTGGAGCATTCCAACAGCTTGTTTCTTTTCACCCATCTGCTGCCACACTGCCAGTGATGGCTTTTGGATGGCAGTTCAGTCGGACCTGGGGAATTGAATCGAAGGCTGAATCGAAGCTGATTGACCTCTCACTACTGGCTCACTTTGACCTCGTCCTTCGGAGGGCTGATGATGACTGACTTCTCTCTACTTGCTCACTTTTACCTTGTCCTCTCTTCTCCTTCAGTTTGACCTCACGCGTTCCTTACTACCCTGGGCTGTGGTATTACTGCCTCCAGTTGGATCAAGCATGTGATACTACTACCACTGGCTATTTAATCCCTTTTCTTTCTCCTCTTCCTGCCTCTCTTCCTTCCCCTACTCCTCCACCTCTTCCTTCACTTCCTCACTCTCGAATTCATATTCGTCTTCCTCTACCGTCTACACCTTCAAGCATTGTATCAACTTCTTCTCCCCTGAACCTTCCCTCTGGATCTCCTTTTCCGGCATCGCGTCTCTGCGCCTCCGAGGCTCGGTAACGGAAGGTTGGTGTTACTGTTCCTACAATTCTAGCAGCAAGGTCTGTACAAAGTTCGACTTCTACCTTGGAAACACTGCCAGGCACTTGGTCTAAAATTCCGTCATCATGCCAAGGTTGTCTCCGGATGATACGGAAATGACAGGCATGCCTTCCGACGCACCTCCGTGTGGTCGGGCTACGGCTTGCAAACCTGCACAACTCCAATATCCTCCTTACCGCGAACCCTCGTTCGAGTTAGCAACTCAGACAGGCCTGAAGATTGCTCAAATGATTGCTGAGACTCTTGAGAAATCTTCCCAAAGTCCACCCAAAACCCTCTTGAAAGAAGCAAAAGAGCTGGCCAATTACCGACTCTCCACAGAACGGCTTGTCGGGTTCCTTGGACACTCAGGTCACGGCAAGAGCAGCACTATCAATTCTGTCTTGGGGAACGAGGATCTGGCAAAGACAGAAGCATGCGGGTCTGCTGTAACCCCATTCGCAGTTGAGTATCGTTTCCCAAAGCCCGAGCATAAATCACCATTCACTATGGAGTGCAATATGATGACTATGAGCGAAATTGGGGAATACCTTGGAAACTTACTTCGCGACTTTCGAAGGGTCGAATTCGCGGATGAGCAGGAGCGCATTTCCAACTTCGAGGACCTCCAAGCGGACAGTCGAGCTGCCCAGGACGTCTTCGAAGCCGCTTTTGACGGAATGACAGACTTCGACATTTCCTTGCTTGAGCATAAGGACAACGAAGAGAGCCGGAAGGCGGCAATAGAGACTCTGAAAAGTTACGCTGTACGTTTGGATTTCCCCGACGACATGGACGACAAAGGATTTTGGATTCAGGAAGCAAAGAATGCGGAGGAGTGTCAGCAGCAGCAGTCCATCCTCCAAGAACGCGGACTGTGGCCTTTTGTGAAGCAGTTGACGGTCTACGCAAACATCGACATTCTGAACCCCGGTCTTACCTTGGTTGACTTGCCGGGATCCCAAGACACAAACCTTGCCAGAGTAAGAGCTGCTCGAAAGGCGCAAGCAAAATGCGAGAGCCTTTGCATAGTAACCAACATCGGCAGAGCTGTCGACAATCCTGTGATTCAGCAGACTTTGGAAGGTTTGCGAGGAGCCACAGATGGCTTGGAGTCACCTTCTTGCGACATCACCTTGGTATGTACCCATTCAGGAGATCTGTCCAACAGAAGACCAATCGAAAAATTGGTCTCTGAGGCGGAATTGAGGAAAGCCAAAGCAGAGCTCCACCGCGTAACGGGCAGTCGCGGGGACTTCAAGAGCTCCGAGGCCTACACAAGGGCCTGTAAAAGTGCGGAGTTCAAGATCGATACGCTCTTGATCCAGAGCAGAAATGCGAAGGTTCGTACCGGTCTGCTTCGGAAATACCGCAACCTTTTCGGAGAGCAGGACGTGAAGGTGTTTTGCATTGACAACATGCTAGAAACTCAGGCAGGCGAAGACATCGATGGGGCGCTCAATGGCATACCACAGTTGCGTCAGCACCTCCGAGACCTTCCAGCCGAGGCCTTCTTCAAGGAGAAAGATTTCTTCATCTCCAACAAGATTCCAGCCCTGGTGGCTTCATTTCAGAATTGGGTGGAATCCAATCAGAGCATTAGCCCTGGGAGTATTGAACAATCCCCCTCCCTTCCCGATACGGATAGTCTCGAGCTAAGTTATATTCCCGCGGCATGGATCCCTAACACGCGCATGGTTTTCAACCAGAAAATTAAGAACATTATTCTATCCTCAAGCCCGACAATCACCTCGCAGTGTCTAGAAGCGGCGAGGCATTGGGAGTCTTGGAAGTCGGCCTCAGTCCTATCGTGGGTCAGGCGGCACGGCAATCATATCACCCAGGCGCGGGGATCCGTCAACTGGAACTGGGATTTACTATACCCCTTTGTCCAAGCTGTGGGCAAGAGATGGACAGAACTCAAGCATGACGTTGTCCCATCACTGGCGGACCTGAAAGCATCCATCTTGGGTGTATGGGAGGTATATGAGCTCAAGTGTCGCCAACTGAATGCGCCGCCAAACTTGCAGGCATCCTTGACTGGCAGAATCAATAACATAAGAAACGACCTGGACAGCGCCGAGCATGTGTGGCATAAAGGCCTGAAGCACATCAAGACTAGCTCTACCACACCCAACTGGCAGGGAGGCTCTTACATTGTCGACTGTATGTTGGAAACCTACGAGGAAGGTCGAACGTTCTCTGGTAAGTAAGCATGACATCCATTGACCAAAAACACTGGAGATTGACAAAAGGCGCAGGGAGAGGGTCTACAGCTCTACGTCATCAAGCTTTGCAGCAAAGAGTTTCTCACAGTGACTTTGTCGACGATTTTGTCGATCGAATATCCAAGGACTTTGAGGACCTGATGGCAAAGGTATCGACCAAAATCACAAAAGTACTTGAGACCGAACTGCAAGCTGTTCGAAGTGACATTGAAGTCATGCAGAAGAAGAAGATGAAGGAGACGGAGCCGACCGATTTCAAAACGAATCAGACCATGATCCAGGCGGAACTGACCAAAATCAAAGACGAGATCGACTATGAGGAACTGTCTGCAGATATCCAGAAGATGATTTGCCAAATGGACGAACTTGCTGCAACTGCGCGTGAAATGGCAAAGATACAGTATGGTTGAATCGCAGTTCTTGATTCTCTGGGACCGAAATTCAAGGGTTAAAGATTTGGGCTGCGACAAGCGGGCAACTGCAACGAACAAACTTTAGGCCTGAGCTTTGGAGCAGCAACAACAACAACAACAACAACAACAACGCAACATTTCTCAGTGTCAACAAAATAAACGGATGGTGTGGTAGAATGACTTTGCTGTGCTGGATCTGCTCCCTTGGTGACGGTCACAGCTGGGTGCAAAACCGACCATTGAGGAACTAGAAGGATTCACGCATTGGAGAGAGGGAAAAGGAGCTAGGGGGCTGATTGGGCAATAGCATGGCATCAGGGTGGCCTCAATTTGACGGTGGACTTGAGTCGAGACAAGACGACTTTGAATCCGCCGGACGATGTTGTGCTGGATACCTACCTTATGCACATGACATGAGCTTGAATTGAGAGCAATACAACGCGGCATGCCATATCTTCGGCGGACTGTACGGATAGAGAATAAAAGCGTAACAACCTAAGTATCTATCTTAGGATGTCTGGGATCCATAGACAGGACAGTGACTGCAGTGGAGAGATCAATGGCTTAAGAAGAGAGCCGAGTCCCCAATGGTTGATCTGGAACTACCCTAGCACTCGGCAAGCCCCCTTTTCTCGCGCAGCCTTGCAGTGGCTGACATGAGAGGATATGAAGGTAAGAGGCATCATCATCTTCTCCATACAGAATGAACTCGAGAGTCGAGTGCTCCCCCCAGGGAGATTCCTGGTACGGTACTCTAGTACATATACTGGTGGTATCCAGGTATGTGCCTTTATAGTCAGATGGAGAACAAGGTACATCACATGTATGTAGAAGGTACAGGCGTTGGATGACCACCAAATCTCCGTTCTTATAAGTCGGACTCTGATTCGGTTTCACATTTTTTTTCATATTTCTACAACCTGGCCCAGCTATTCACTGCATTTTGACTACACTGCAGGGCACCGCAGACAGGGTATGATATATTCTGCCTCCCACTATCGCTTTTTGTTGTTTCAGTTTCATTTCCCAAGAGATCCAATTTTTTCGTGTGTCCTCATCCACATGCGCTCAGGTGTACAACCCTCCCTCCCCTTTTATCCTGTTCAACCTCTTGGCTAATAAAGTTATCCATCCAACTCATTGCTGATTCCACCAATAGTGACAGTCTTAATGACAGTAAACTCATCAATGCCATATTTGGATCCTTCACGACCGAACCCGCTCTCCTTGACACCACCGAACGGACTGGCGGGATCCGAGATGATTCCAGTATTGACACCGACCATGCCGACCTCAAGGGCCTCTGCGACTCGGTAAATGCGGCCAATGTCACGAGAATAAAAGTATCCGGCCAGACCGACAGGGGAGCTGTTCGCCAACTCGACGACTTCCTTCTCTGTTTCAAAGGGGAACAGTCCGGCAACAGGACCGAAAGTCTCTTCTTGGGCAATGGCCATGTCGTTAGTGACACCAGTCAAAACAGTAGGAGCGTAGAAGTTGGAGCCCAAGTCCGGCAGCTTCTGACCACCGACAATGACCTTGGCGCCCTTTTTCTTGGCGTCTTGGACGTGCGAATCGACTTTCTCGACGGCTCGGTCGTGGATGACGGGGCCGTGGGTGGTGCTGTCGTCGAAGCCATAGCCGACCTTGAAGTTCTTGACCTTTTCGGCGAACTTTTCGGCGAATTTGTCGTAGATGCCCTTTTGCACGTAGATGCGGTTCGCGCACACGCACGTCTGGCCGGAGCTGCGGAACTTGCAGGCAATGGCGCCGGCGACGGCGGCGTCGAGGTCGGCGCAGTCGTCAAAGACAATGAAGGGAGCGTTGCCGCCCAGTTCAAAAGATAGTTTCTTGAGTGTGCCGGAGGCTTGCTTCATCAGGAGTTTGCCGACGTTGGTCGAGCCGGTGAAGGAAACCTTTTTGATTCGTGGGTCTGTCGTCAACAGTTCGCCCACTTCGGCAGTGTGCTTCATCGCCGTCACAACGTTGACTACACCTTTGGGGATTCCGGCGCGACGAGCCAACTCGGCCAGAGCGTTGGCGGTGAAGGGCGTCTCGCCTGGCGACTTGGCCACGACGGTGCATCCGGCGGCCAAGGCAGGGCCGATTTTGCGCGTGATCATGGCCGCGGGGAAGTTCCATGGCGTAATGAATCCACACACTCCAATTGGTTGTTTGATGGTCAGAACTCGGTTTCCTGGTACGCTGGCCGGGATGGTGTCGCCATAGACGCGCGGTGCCTCTTCGCTGAACCATTGGAAAAACTTGGCCGCGTAGGCCACCTCCCCTTTTGCGTCGTTGTATGGTTTGCCGTTTTCCCAGGTGATCAATGTGGCCAGATCCTCGGCGTTCTCCTGCATCAACTCATACCATTTCATCAAGAGGCCTGCTCTTTCACGGGCCAGAAGCTTGCGAAATGCAGGGCCCGCTGCGACGGCTGCCTCAATGGCCTTTTCCGTGTCTTCCTTGGTGAACTCGGGACATGACCCGATCTTTTTCCCGGTAGCTGGGTCAAATACATCGAAGGTCTGCTTGGAGGCCGCGTCCACGAACTCGCCGTTGACGTAGGCTTTCGAGATCAGCAGAGAGGGGTCGTTGAGCTTCGGTACAGTATGCATCTTTGCTGTGGATATGATTCGGTACGAGGGGTGTGCTACTGCTCGAGTGTACGACGACGGCAGGCGAGGTCGACTTGATGACAGCAAGGTTCGAAGGTATGAGGCTGCCGGGGAAGCCATTGATGGTAGGTAGGTAGATATATAGCTTCGGTGACCGGGTAATATGTAATGTGATCACTGCAGAGGAGCGTTCGTTTACGTGGGGTAAAAATGATAGGTAATGATGCAGCTCGAACTTTTGGAGATGCGCGGGCGGTGCAGCCGGGGTTCCTTTCCGTGGCGAAAAACCGGCTCCTCTGTTTTGTTTGCTTAGCAGCTGGCAAACATTCAGGGAAGGATTTTGGTCCGCGGCCGACACGGTAAACGGGTGTAGCAGTACTTCTACTGTAAATACTGCTGCTCTTGTTGAAGGGCGCAATTGTAGTATTTGGACAATCCAGAAGGTGGAGCCCGATCAAGCCAAACGCGATCCTCCGTACCTTGGTACCAGCACGTCGGAAGAGATATGGTGGATCATTCGTGCTACAAGGCGCAATACGGCGCAGCATCAAATGGCTATACTGCATCTCTCCAGCATCAACCAGCAACAAACCACGCGTGGGAGGACTTCTTCCATGTCCCCATACGCCTAGGACAACAAACTTTCGCGCTGCAGGACGATTATGAGCTCTGGAGCGTAAATAAACCCAGAATATGCCCAAGCTCAATACAGTAGAAGCTGCCAATGCCCTGTCGGCGTCGGACTTTTTCGAAACTTACGACAAGCACACAGCCTTGTCACTAGACACGAACGCAGAATTGCAGATATGCAAGGGCGATGCTTCACACATCCCTGCACCGCTCTTTGAACAGTGCTTGAAGTTGATCGAACTGACCAGCGCGCAAGACTATCGTAACTCTGAGATGAAATGGTCAGTGTCTTCAAAGCGGAAGGAGATGAAGCTCCCGGACATGAGATACATCATCCTGGTCGAAAAGACAACTTCACAGCTTGCGGGCTTCATCTCTTTCATGATTACCTACGAGGACGGCTATGAGGTTGTCTACATCTATGAAATTCATTTCACCCCCGAATGGCAAGGGAGAGGGCTCGGAAGAGAGCTGATGAAAACAGTCGAAGATATCGGTCAGCGTGTCGGCGTTAGCAAGGCCATGTTGACTGTCTTCAAGGCGAACAGCCGAGCAGTCAGGTGGTACCACGACCTAGGATATCGAGAAGACGACTTCTCACCTGGTCCACGTGTTCTACGGAATGGCACGGTCAAAGAACCCAGTTACATCATCCTATCGAAACAGTTGAACGATTGATATCATTGTTTGCATGCATCTATATCTGGCGCACGGGTTTGCCCCTCATCTCAGGTCGCTCTATTTCGAATTCATCGCGCAAAACGGCATACAAGGTGTCTCCCACCAGAATGGTCAGTCCAAGACTCCATACGAGAGTAATGGCGTAGAAGAAATTGGCATTGCCCGATCCTGAATAAATCCACAAATGGTAAAATGCCGGACCGAGAAGGGTTGAATAAAGCAGCACCGATGCGGCAATGAAGGTATACCGAGTCACTTGAATGGTCAGCTGGAGAACTTACGAAAGAACGACGCGGCGATCAGACTTACGTGGTAGAATGTGCGAGTACATTGGGAGGAAGCCGAGATACAACGAGACGTCTGATATGCTGGGGTATGGCTTGAAAATGGCAAATAATCCCAAAAGACTGGTGATGACAAAAAGTGGCTGTCGTTGAAGTCGAAAACTCAATCCTCCAACATACCCCACGAGATGTAACCAGAACACGCCAATGAAAAAGTCCCGGAAGGAGTCGAATATCTCAATGAAGAAATACCACCAGAGTCCCACGTTTGGCGTAAGGTCGGTGACAGTCAGTTGTGCTCCATAGCAGGACGAGAGGAAGTCCCAGAATCCGTCAGTCAGAATAGGAGTGGTGAGGAGCAACGCTGCCAAAGCTCCTAGATACGATAGGATCGAAATAGTAGCGGAAATTGGTTGGTTTTTGTTTTGGAGAATCATGAGTATCGTCGGTGGCAAGAGTAGGCCCGGGTACATGGACAGATATGTGCCAATGGCCAGACTGAACATTGCTCGAATAGCATTGCCGGACTGTGCGTTTAGAACGGCTTGAATAATGGCTGCATTGGTGAAAATACTGGTGTTTTTGCCCAGGCAAGACAGTATAGTAAATGGGTTGAATAGATATGCTGCCGCTATTATCGAGCCATCCAGTTTCCGAAATCGAGGCGTGGGAATATGCAGGTCGTTGGCGATCTGTTGGAGAGACGCGGCGTTTATAAGGTCCAATGCAACAAAGACTAACGCCGACGGCAACGTCTCGAAGAGGACGAGGAGCAACGGTGCCTGATGAAAGACGCCACCATCATAGGGTGAGAGGCCATGCTGGTAGAGGAACAAGCCCTCTTGAAGTCGCTTGAAGCTGGATATTGGTGTTGAGATCTCGACCTGATTGCCCAAGAAGTCCGACAGATCCGGAAAGGCCACGAAGACAAGTAACCTTAGAAAGGCAGCGCCGGCATAGATCGCGACCGTCTTGCGATCCACTGATAATGCCATCCCTCCTTTGCGACAATCAGGTCGTGGCCTGGCTTGTTCTGAGCATTCGAGCGCGAAGAAAAGGGAGTGGAGGCTGACAGGTGTTTGATACAGATGTCAATTAATACACATGTTTGGTGTGTACCTAAATCGGTAAGACGCCCAATTGCTTAGTCATGTATTATGTGTCTTCTGGGCCCGTTGCGGAGCCGGCAAACCTGCCCCGATAATTGTGTCTCGAAACTTTTTCCTACCGCCGCATTCGCTTTTTTGTATGGCCTTGTAGAACTTTCATAGTTCAAGTTGTGCTTGTCCAGGATCCTCTTCTGAAGCATTAATCATGGCCAAACAGAAGAAGAAGGGTCAAGCCGGCCAGGCGAAGAACTATATCACCCGGACACAAGCCGTGCGCAAACTGCAAATCTCCCTCCCAGACTTTCGTCGGCTATGCATCTTCAAGGGCATCTATCCGCGTGAGCCACGGAATATCAAGAAGGCCAACAAGTCTGCTACGCATTCCACTACATTCTACTACACGAAAGACATCCAATATCTACTACATGAACCGCTTCTGCAAAAATTCCGAGAACAGAAGGCCCTCTCGAAAAAGATCGCAAGATCTCTCGGTCGCAATGAAGTCCAAGATGCGGTCAGGCTCGAGAAACAGGCCATGCCAAAGGTCAAACTCGATCATATAGTGCGTGAAAGATATCCAACTTTCGTCGATGCTCTGAGAGATCTCGATGATGCGCTCTCACTCTTGTTTCTTTTCGCAAACCTGCCATCAACCTCCGCCGTCCCTGCCAAGGTCATTGCTCGCTGCCAGCGCTTGACCCACGAATTCGAACACTACCTCATTTCCACCCACTCTCTCCGGAAATCCTTCTTGTCCATAAAAGGTATATATTACCAGGCAACAATTCAAGGGCAAGATATTATGTGGTTGGTGCCATACAAGTTTGTGCAAAGAATAACACAAGATGTGGACTACCGAATTATGGGCACGTTCGTGGAGTTCTATTGCACACTTTTGGGTTTTGTCAATTACAAGCTGTACACATCCATCGGGTTGGTGTACCCGCCCAAGTTTGATGTTGCGAGTGACGAACGGGGAGCCGAACTGGCAGCCTTCACGCTCCAGGGCCATCAAGTAGCGGGTGCAATTGCACCGAAAGAGGAGGAACAGAAAACCCTGACCAATGGCCATGGACCAGCCCAAAATCCGGAAGAGATTCAAGCCCAGATCGCCAAAATTGCCGAGCAGGATGTTGTGGAGGACGATACAAATCAGGATGAAGCTCCTGAGGAGCCGGCTGATGACGGAACCATCGACACTTTCAAACCAGCCGCACCTGAAGGCGATATCCTGCCCCAACCTGACGTGTCTGGGGATGAAGCTGCGAGTCTCTTTTCGAACTTCACTTTCTTCATCTCTCGCGAAGCCCCCCGTCATCCAATCGAGTTTCTACTACGAGCATTTGGATGTAAACGAATCGGATGGGATACGGTCCTCGGAGATGGTGCGTTCACTCATGATGAGACGGACCCCAGGATAACGCATCAGATTGTGGACCGACCTGCATTGGCCCAGCCATTACCTGCTTTGCAAGGTCAAACTGATAACAAGGATCAGACTCTCCAGGCTGTCAAGCCTGGCTTCATAATCCCAGGTCGGACTTACGTCCAGCCACAGTGGATCTGGGATTGCATCAACGAGGGCAAGTTGCTAAGGACGGACCTGTATGCGCCCGGAGCGACTCTGCCACCACATCTCAGTCCATGGGTCAGACCTACCAGCGGACAGTACGATCCTAGGGCGACTTTGGAGGAGCAGGAACCTGAAGGCGAAGCCGATCAAGATGTTGCCGAAGAAGAAGAAGAAGTAGAAGAAGGGTCTGACGATGAAGAAGATGAGTCTGACCAAGAGGAGGACGAGTCAGAAGATGAAGATGAGGAAGTCGATGCCGGTGATATGGATGTTGCAGGCTCAGAAGAAGAATCAGAAGAGGAAGATCAAGAAGTTGACGGCTTTGCTGGCTTTGGCGATGACGATGCAGCATCAGATGCATCATCTGAGCTGGACGAGGAAGCCCAACACCAAAAGGAGCTTGAAGCTGAAGCCCTGGGTAAACCCGTCCCTGTTGCCAAATCCAAAGAGGATGCTCAAAAGGCCAAGGCCCGCAAGGCTCGGGAGACGGCCCAGTCTAAGAAGGAGGAAGAGATTGAACGGCAAAAGATGATGATGAGCAACAAGAAGAGAAAGCTGTTCGAGAAAATGCAGTACTCCAACAACAAGCGTGATGTTGAGGCGGAGAAACTACGTGCGAAGCGAAGAAAGCTCGAGCGGGCAAAGGGCAAGGCCTAAGGATCTCTGGACCGCCAGCCTGTCAGTTCTTAGCAAGGCGTTGTGGGGACGTGGGAAATGGTATGGAAAAGTTCAGGATGCCAGATATGAGAATCAGGGACTGGAGTGACCACGTATCTCGGTGGATATCAAATTCCAGGCTTGTCAACGACATTTTCGATGTAGGTAAAATTTACTTCCTGTATACTGCCAGTGTGTAGAATGGTACCTAGGTACCTACGACGTAGTACTCGCTATATACTCGGCGGGCAGTATACTCTCCTGCCGCTTTACCGTGAGTCTAGTCACGTGCTTCGCGCAGCGTGGCCTGTAACCCAATCGAGAGCTTTTCGAAAGCTTGCGGTTGCAATTCTTCGAGATCTTAACCGACCAGACTCAAGTACACGAGACGAAACAACTTACTCTCGTTTTCACGGCCTGGAATGGCAGCTCGGCCCGCCATGCTGCGTCTCGCCAGACCTGTGGGTGCTTCCCTGCGCGGGCGAATGCTCGCGCAGGCTGTCTCGCAGGTATGCGAATAGTCCCCAATCCCCGTATAGAGCTCGCGCGACTAACTCCAGATGCACAGAGAAGGGCATTTACGGAGAGAAAAGAGTCAATCCTGAGCTCGGATCCGGCCTTTATGCCAGGATCGCAGAGTTCAGCCGCTCCCGTCAAGACAGAAGTTCCACTAGGTCCCGGAGGCCCTGGGAGTCCTGTTCCTCCAGCACCCAGTCCCGCGACACCTTCTTCCGCCTCGACGATACCTCCTGAGAGTGTGCCCCGGGCACCTCCCAGCCCATCCAAGGTGCAAACATCGCCTCCTACCAGTCCCTCTTCTGTGAGCCCGGCGGAGCCACCACCACCACCTCCCCCATCTCAGCCGCCCACTAAGCCAGCCCGGAAGCGATTCAGACGGCTTCGGGCCCTGTTTTATCTTCTCCTGCTCAGTGCCACTGCATACGGCGGTGCTGTCTTTTACGCCTTGAGAAACGACAATTTCCACGACTTCTTCACGGAATATGTACCTTTCGGAGAAGATGCAGTGTTGTATTTTGAGGAGCGGTCATTCCAGAAGAGGTTCCCTCACACCAGACATAATGTGGTTACTAGACTCCCACGCACGGAGAGACAGGAGGAAGGCAAAGTTACTACTATCCCACAGAAGTCAGGAATCTCCTGGCGCGTGGCCGAGGAAGAACCTGCCACAAGTGATGTTACACAGAAGGGCAAGCATATGAGTGCAGTGGATGCCAACAGTCCTAAACCGGGGCCCACCGATCCGAAGAATGATCCGGCGAGTGCAACAACAAAGGAGAAGAGTGCCGCTGTTGAAAGCGTAAAGAAGGATTCGGCTACTTCCCCAGCACCTAGTTCCAAGGAAGCATCACCGTCGTCAGAGAAGCCAGCCGCCCCATTGACCGAAACACCCGCCACTGGTGACTCACGTCCACCAGCAATCCCGCCAGTCACCTCGATCTCGCCATTAGAAGTCCCCAGTGCCGAGGAACCCGTGGTTCAAGAATTGGTCAAGATTGTCAACGACTTGATTACGGTGGTGAACTCGGATTCGCCGGACGCCGCTAACAAATACTCGGCTCCGATGGGCAAGGCGAAGGAGTCTCTGGAGGCAGTTGCCAAGAAGATTTCGCAACTCCGCGAGGAGGAACAGAAGGCAGCCGAGCAACGCATTGAAGAAGCCCACAAAGAGTTTGATGAAGGCGCCCGACAACTCCTGAAACGGATCGAGACTGCGCAAGCCGAAGACGATGCTCGGTACCGAGAAGAGTTTGAAGCCGAACGAGCCCGTCTCGCCCGGATCTACGAGGAGAGACTGAAGACTGAGGTCCAACGCACCCAGGAGTTGGCTGAACAGCGGTTGAAGAATGAACTCGCAGAGCAGGCCATCGAAATGAAACACGATTTCATCAAGCAGATCAAGGAACTGGTCGAGACCGAACGCGAAGGCCGCCTTGCGAAACTCCAGGACCTCAGCTCCAACGTCGAGAACCTCACCGAGTTGACTGCCAACTGGAACGGCGTGATCGACGCCAACCTTCAGACCCAGAAGTTGCAAGTCGCCGTTGATGCTGTTCGCGCAGCATTAGAGGAGACCTCGGCGTCGGAAGCCAAGCCGCGGGCCTTTGTCCGTGAACTCGCCGCCTTGAAACTCGTGGCCAACGGCGATCCGGTCGTCGAAGCCGCCATCGGCTCCATCAACCCGTCCGCTTACCAACGAGGAGTCCCGAGCCAACCACAGTTGATTGACCGGTTCCGCCGCGTCGCCAACGAGGTGCGCAAAGCCAGTCTACTGCCAGAAAACGCCGGCCTCGCCTCTCACGCTGCCAGTTTGTTGTTGTCTAAAGCGCTGTTCAAGAAGGAGGGCCATCCTACAGGTAATGACGTCGAGAGCGTCCTGACCCGCACGGAGACTTTGCTTGAAGAGGGTGATCTGGATGGCGCGGCCCGTGAGATGAACTCTCTGTCCGGCTGGGCTAAAGTCCTCAGCCGCGACTGGCTGGCTGATGTGCGGAAGGTTCTGGAAGTCAAGCAGGCGTTGGATGTCATTGAGATAGAGGCCAGATTACAGTGTTTGCGCGTGGAGTAGATTAAACCAAAAAAAGGACAAAGCAAAAAAGAAACAAGATATCAGTGAAGCGAGCGAGAAGTGTATCCTTTCCAATTCTTCCTCTTTGTATCTGCCTTTGGCTTTTTATCCTCTGTCCCGAGTCTCGTGGCGCACTGTAGCGGATATCAAAGGAAAATAAAAGACCAATAAGCGCCTCACTGCAGTCTTCCTTTCTCCTGGATCTACCGGCCGCGGAGGAATAGAGATTGATAATCCGGCATTCGCACATTCTGATATCTTTTGATTCTTTTGATCGCCATCTCCCCGAGCTCTTCCTTGGCCGCACGTCCTGCTTCGGTCAGTTGGCTCAAATCTGCGTTTGCTAGCATCTGTACAGTACAGATGACTCACGGTCAGCATGGAATCTACCGAGATTATTGCAGGGCGAGTAGGTCAGGTACATGCCGGAGAAATCACATGTCAAGAAATTCTGATAATTAGTGCTTCGATGTCGACGTGACTTACAATGTCTGAATTCCAGTCTTCCAATGCACGACTCAGTGCATGACGTTCAAGTTCGTCATACTCTGGGTGATCGTCCGCAAGAAGATATTGCGTGATGTGCCAGGTCCAAGTCCGATCTTGGTTTGTTGGCGGATGCGATTGCGGACTGGTGGTCGAATTTTCTGGGTCTGCGTCGTCGTCGTCGTCGTCGTCTAGATGCAGGAAAAGATCTACAGACGTACGAGCCTGTTAGAGAGGATCTCATTTCGTAGAGCTTGAGCTTAACCAGGAATATGGTTGGGTGCAACGGCAACGTGAATCTTTTCGCAAAGAAACACTTGTTATGATAGACCGGGGGGAAGGAAAGACTGACCATTAAGCTTATTATGTCTTTCAGAAGCTTCGGCTTCTGCGTGGCGGATCTGAGCCCAGAGCATGTCCGCTAGGTTCCACACGTCTGGTTCAACTGTCTGGTCAACTGTCTGGTCAACTGTCTGGTCAACTGTCTGGTCAACTGTCTGGTCAACTGTCTGGT